TACTGGATGCCTGCTTTATCAACATTCACACAGAATGAATAAAATTGGGCAAAAGCCAACCAAACTTACCCCAAAAATATAATAAAAATATCTTTATCCGTGTTTGTATATCCATCAGAGAAGGAAAATAGGATAGAAATACCAGGAAACATGCATTAGAGATCCCAGAAAGCAAATGACTTCTTTATCTGCCTGACAGATTTTCATTTCGATGACTCTCATATGCTTAGTAGCTCGAACAAGTAGAAGAAAGACTTATCTCGTTTGCTCACCAGCCTGAAAAATTAGATGAAAGTTGGGGAAGTGAAAAACGGGAGGCATCTCGATGACTTTCGTTTACGTATCAGCGTGAACAAGAGGAAGGAAGACTTACGTCCCGAAGAATGCTAAAAAGAAATGCTGGAGAAGTTCGAAAATGGGCCGATGATTGGATTGCTGCCAAACCAAATAGCGTTCTTTCGGCACGGTATGGCGATTGATGGGAAAAAGTTATCTAAAATGATGGAAACTATTTTGACCCGAATACCCATCACCGTTACCCTTAAAAAGAAGCCGCTGATTCTTTCTATTTTCAAAACAAAAGTTGCATTAGCATGTGTCCTTGGAAAAGTTTAGGTCAAATCCAAATTCTTTTCCAAATTTGTAGGCGATAGCTTCATTTTCGCTAAACAGGAGAACGTTTATCGCAAATACAACATACTTGCTTGGACAGACAGATGGACAGGCGAGTAGACGGACATATTTAAGCGCATTCCAAATTTGAAAGTGGCCAAGAATTTATATACTTTATAGGGTTCTTCAAGCTTGTTTCTGCGCTTTATACAGGTATTGAGAAAAAAAAAAAATCCTTGGTACACTGTAAAAGTGGGTAGGCGTGGTCAATTTTTTTTTCTCTTTTGTAGCGGTGCTACAACATCGCCCAGAGGATATGCGTTCAAATTTTTATCTACACATTTATCTGCTACAGTCTATGAGTAAGGAGCGAAAAAACAATTTTTCATTGCTTTTCGAAAACGAACATCGATACGGATACCTTTGATCGAATTGGCCCATTACCAATGTAAACCTGCGTACATGAATTTGCAATATTTGTGCCAAACTTGAAGTCGTTAGCTTGATCCTTGCAGACATGACGGATAGGCGGACCGATAGGCTTAAACGGATTTAATATTAGGATTTCTGATGCTTCCTCCCTGGCGTTGGAAACCTTTTGACAAAATAAACATACCCATCATTCTATTGTGATGAGAGTATAAGCAAGATTATAAATGTTTGGGGAAAAATTTATTTGAATCATTTTTACAACTAATAACGAAATTTGGTAAAAATATAACCGCAACTAACTATATTTCTGAGAATGCAAACAAACACACAATAGCAATACATATATATACATAACTGTTACATAGCAGTGCGAATGGATGGATATACGTGAATATTTATTTATCTTGTCTTCATTGAAAAACATCAAAAGGAGAAACAAAACAAAAAACAAAAAAGTATACTCAGCCTATATATATTATATTTCATTTTGCTTATTCTACCATAAGGGTCATTTGCCTTACTTGACATGTTTATGGAAATGTAAAATAATGCAACAGCAGAAAAAATATATGTAAATATTAACAAAAACAACAAAATTAATAACAAATATGTTCATACATGTTCATCATAGAGAATCATACGAGCTGTTAATGTTTGTATGTTCGCAGTAATGGTATAGCACCCACATGCTGCATAGTATTTTTTTAATTTTTTTATGTACAACTTTATACTGATTGCATGTGTGAGTATATATATATATATATATATGTTTATTTTATAAAAATTATACCATTCCATTACGCTATCATCCAGCGCATTGACGGTTATCCATTACTACTACCCTTATGTCTGTACATTAACACCATAATGTTTGTAGCTGAAGATGTGTTTTTGTAAATTAAATCCCTCTGGAATTGTTGACGGTGTTACAATCATCATCAAATGCCCCCCAAAGGCATGACGACAACAAATATTTATGTACGTAGTGCAGACGTCAATACACTGATGCATATACACTGTCTGTCATTTGTGAAAATTACTTTAGAACGGAAGTCAGTTTGCATGAAAAAAAAAAAAAAAAAGAAGGTGAAAAATTTCTAATATGTCAGGTGCGCAATTTTTACACTTTTACACACGTGCATGTAAAGTTATAAGGTTATGGGGATTTAATTGAAGAGTAAAAATGACATTTCGTTTGGTTTAATTTTTGGTTTGGTTTTGTTTACATATGAGTGCTTACTAATTATTGTCTGACGGTCCATTTGAGGGCAAACCCCTTCAAAACGAAAAGTGTCAGGTGTGTGAACAAAAGCGTTAACCTTTCACAATTTTATCTATTATTATTATTAATGCTACGCTCAATGTTTGGATTGTAACAAGATTCGTTAGATCATTTCGAGGAGGACATATTGTGTTAATTCATTGCCAGGACTAATTCCATTTTATTATTGCTATTGTTGTTTGTTTTTTTTTTTTTTTTATGTTTTTCGTTTTATACCCATCACCGATGGATGAGGTGTGTATTCATTTTGTCAAAACCTTTGCAACGCCCGCAGAAGAAAGCATCATAGACGCCACAAGGAATACAAAATTACTCTTAATCACAAGGGATAAATCTGTAAAAATTTGAAGACATATTTTATGGGCGAGACTGTAGCAACTGCATAAAAATTGAAAAAAAAGATAGGCCACTCCTACTCAATTTTGTAACTATGGAAAAGAAGCTTCAAAAACCCCATAACGCATATAAATTCTTAGTCAGTTTCATATTCAGCATGTCCTTCTGTTCATCTGTTCAACTGTGTACTAGTTGCGGCAAACTGTCTACCGTTGACTCAAAAGAAGAAGATACCGTTTAAAACTTTGTAAAAGGCCAATTGTTATACCTGCAACGCCCAAATGTTTATACAACCAAAACTGAGAACAACTTTGCTTTCCATGTCCTTGGCTCGGCGCTCACAATATAAAGCAGATGCCCGCCCACCAAATACTATACGTATATGCGTAGATTTATACTTTTTCCTTGTTCAATCGTCTGCATCTGATAACGATGATGGATATAAAGGATTGGGTTGGGCAAGCGAATAAAATTTTCTTATTTATTTTTTAATTAGAAAAGCAAAAAAAAAAATTTTTCCTCCTGAAGCACAATCAATTTCCAACTTCCAGCTTTTATTAATGAAATTTAATGGAATTTTCGGTTTTTTTTTTTTTTTTTTCATAGTTATTTTAGATCGGTTTAGGTTTTGTTGTTGATTTGACTGAACTAGGAACGTTTAGGAACGGGTAGCAGCTTGGTTGGATATGGTGAAATGGTTCATGATCTTACATTAAATGGTTCACGATACTTACGCTTAATAATATCTCTAAGACATACCTCAGCGTTTAAATTTTCATAACAAAAAAAAAAAAACATATGGTTGATGATGGATAGGAATTTCCCGTTGCTCAAGCGTATATACGTCATACTGATGAGTTTAAATGCCATTTTCCGAGAATTCTTTAAAATCTCTTAAAAAAGTGTACAATAAAATCATTTCCTAAAGCACACATCACCTTAATTGAAGATTGATGTTCATCGCTGAAAATATATCATTGAAGCGCGTTCTCTATTAATTAAAAGTTTGCTGCACACGCACGCACACACTTATGAACATGTCTCTAAACCCGTTCCATAATCCAACAATTTTCTGATTTACATGTCTCTTCAGTCTTCAGAGTTCTCGTTTTTGGTAACCATTGCTCATCTGATTCAATGAAGCCAATAAATTAAACTTCAGTGCACAGAATGTATGTCGAAAAGAAACTTAATGATTGATTGACTGATTGATTGATTGATTATTGCATGCTAAACCAAATAACGATGAAAGCTATTGATATTAGGACAACAAAGCACGAACTTTGATATAAACTGTGCCAGTTTATAAAACTTCTAATCAAAAGGGTTCAATGAGCCTTATATGTGACACGAACACTGCACATACGTTACTAATAATAAGCTGAAGTACACTGAGAAAAATAGGCAAATAAAAATTTAATTCGAACTAAAATTGAAAAATGCACTTAATTTAATTAGAAAAGTTTCACTTGAAATCTCTATCTTTCCAAATATATTTATATATTTTGAATATTTTTATAACCACCCTACAAGATTGAAATTGATTAATTTTGCCATAACACTTGTAACATCTAAAAATACATGAAAAAGAAAAAAAACAATAGAAGCTTGATCGGCGAAAATAGTATGATTCGATCCAATCATGCCAGAGGTGTTAGGGCGAACTGTTCTTTAGATACCAGTGATAAAAGTGATTAGCTTAAAACAAAACCAAAAGTAAGAAAAGCTATGTCTTTGGCGGTAGTAGAACCGTCATTGATGATATTTCGATAGAAATGGAAAAAATCGATTATGTGGTAGTGCACTTGGTACTCATTAGTCTTCCACTGAGAGACCAGCATCACAGAAATAATTTAATAAATTTGAAAAAATTCTCATATGAAATTGTGAAAATGAAAAATGAATAACTTTCACTAATAATGGGTAAAAAAAGATGCTGCTCCCCGCTATGTAATCAAACTTAGCCCATTTCTACAATGCTTTGTATGATGATGTACATGGATTTGTGTCTTTTAACGTTAAAACGATCGTTGAAAACAAATAAAAAAAACTTGCTTGATAGACTCTTGGATATTTATACTTAAGGGCTTAAGGATAAAGTCTTATTTTCTTGGCGGGTCTTGCAAGAGAATCGCTTATCCGTTTCACTGAATGAATGAATTATTATCGATGTAAACGTTTGCCTCGTTTTCTATTTTATTCACTTAATAAAATTTATTTCAGTATTTATTTACCTTGTTTTTTCCGGCAGTGTAGATAACAATACGATGAACGAATATGAACGAACGTATTTATTTTTACATCTAATTTTTTTTAGAAATGAAATCAACAATTCCTTCATTTATTGTTTATTTGTATATGATTTCAGGGTAATAAAAAAGGAAAAAATAAAAAAATTTGACCTTGATTTTTTTGTGCAAAATACATAGGCAAGCTTGTAACCGAATATCCGGCCTACATTATAATAATAATAACAATAAAAACAACAATATATAAGTATGTCAACGAAAAGTCAAATGGCACAAATAGCCCCACAACCACCGCCTAAACCACATAAGACCTATGCAAATGGCAATGCTAACGGTACTTTGGCAAACGGTGGTACCATCAATAACAATTCAAGCAGTAATACAGCGCAATATCTACTTACATCAACAGACAACAACGTTAGTTGTTATGCAAAACAGAAGTTAAATGGTCGCAGTCCTTGTCACACGCCACCGTCTACAGAACGTGAACAAGTTGTAATGACACCCAAAGGTAAAACGGCGAACAGTACAGTGATTTTAATTGAACGTAAACTGGTAGATGAGATCAATGATCGCGTACATGTCGCCGGCGGTGATCATACAGGGATAATCATTAATAAGGATACAGTTAAAGGGCAAAAAAGTCAAACCGAGCCGGCGCAATTGTCTTTAGAGTTTCGCGTATTCCTGGTCAGTGCTAATACCGGAAAACATTCTCAAGAATCGCGGACATTAAGATTTTGGTTTCGAGATTGGCTAAGAAATGAGGAAAATCAAGCTCATGTAGCACAAGATTTCTTTAAAGAATTGGTTAGCCCGAAGGACTTTCCCCGAGGTTGGTTATTATTTTTGAAAAAATAAAACAAAAAAAACAATTTAATGCAATAAGAATTCTTTCTTTCCCACAGATTATGTTGGTTTCATTAAGAAAATAATGAAATTATTGCAGAAAGGTTATGATGAGATACAATGCTTGGAAATAGAGCTGCGCATATTAGAAGAGACAAGTGAACCGCCGACAAGACCACGTAAGTGAATATTTCGCTAACAACAAAAAAAAAAAAAAAAAAAAAGAAAAAAAAAGCCAAGTCAACCAAGTCAAAGTTGTTCAAATGTGGATAGTGTTGATTGTCCTAATAATTTTGACCTGAGTTTTTCAAATCATTTATTTAATTTCTTTTCATATCCTTTTCCTTTGCTGTGAAACTTTTTTATTATTTTTTTTTATTATTATTATATATTTCTCAATCCAAACATCAAATCCATGACATTACCCAAAGCTCGCGAAGGTTACATTATCTATTGCTATGGTGATTGCGATCGTAAATATGAGGAGGCATTGTTAGCACAAAAGCAAACAGGTGATGGTGATGATTTAATGAAAGCTATTTGGCTCGATATGTATCATGAGCAACTAACCAAGCACAAGTGATAATAATTTTAAACGCAATAATATGATGTGCGCATACATTCTCCCCTCCACAAATTATACACAATAGCCGTTATCATCGTTGTTATTGTCTTCCACTTATTATCTAAAAATTGTTATATTATGATGCTTTTTTCCTATTTTTTTTTTTTTCGATTTTTCATTTAATTAACCCTTCCAGCTGTCAACAGCAAATTGCCTTCGTTATGTTGCGTTTTTTTTTTTTCATTAAACCCTTCCTAACTAACTGAGAGTTGGGGAATTAATTTGATTGTTTTCTTATGTGAAAATTAGGCTCTAATTAATCTGCATTGTTTGCTAATGTTTTTCTTTTGTTATACATTACGTTTCGTTATTTCCTTTCTTGTTTTTTTTTTCCCCCCCTTTGTCTACTAATTTGTTAAAGTTTCTTTGCTTTTACTCTGGGGAGGTTTGTGTTTCATATTACTCTGTAAAATATATATTTTTTATGTGCAATCGCCTATGGAGCAATACATTTTCGTTAAGTTTAATAAATTTGTTTTTGCGAAATAAAAAAAAAAAAAAAAAAAAAAAAACAGCGTTTATTTATTCGTAATCAACTTTTATTGAATCCGTAAAGAAAAAACTAAACACATTTAACTTCTTGGCCAAAATTGTCTTCATGGTGGTTCATGACGTCGCGATATATGATGGTGTTGTCACATGTCCGTCTGTATGCTAAAAAAATATTCAAAAAGTCAAGTCAGTACTTGTTCGAGGAATTTTAACTGAGACGAGATTTATAGGCGACCGTTGTTCTACCGCTTGCTTATACAACATACATGGTTTTGATACATTTCCGATTACGGATGCTGTCCATTGAAACGTTCATGGTGCGTTCTGCTGCTTGAAAGGTTGACTACGCATCCCGAAGAATTTCAGATTAATGTTTCCAAAAAGTAAGACCAATTTCATTTTTTCTTTTTTTTTTTTAGATTCATTTCAATTTTTTTCGCGCATGACTTCTGGCAAATGACGCACAATAATCAAATAAAAATTTCTCGCGAAAGAAATTCATAGTACACAACCGCATTTGATTTTTGACTGATTCTGTGGCGATTTTTTCGGTTTTGGCTCACCTTTTGCCCGCTATTCGTTCGCATGATCGTTTATTTATGATTTCAACGCGTAGATCCAAGTTTAATCTTCCGGATTTCATGATCGAGTCGATAGTCAGAAATCATCTCCTCACATTGACTGCAAAAATGGGGAAAAATACCGTTTGTGTCGTATAAAATCAAACGTAACTGGAACACTAATTACGTTTATGATGTGAAGTTTAAAACAGATCTAGGAAATCAATATATTTGATATTCGATATATTCGTGCAATTTAAATTGAATATCGGCCGGTAGTTTTTGAGCACAGTATTATCATACAGATCGGATATGGATTACTTTTCAATAAATATATGAGTACATGATGAGAATAAATTCGTGTCAGCGATCGAATAAGTGGCAAACGCCAAATTTTTCAATAAAATTTCGTTTGTCGATATTACAGTTTTTATATATGCAGTGATCAGATTCTCAGATCCGTTAGTGCGATGTTCTTCTTGTGAAATTGATGAAAATCTCTTTTGCATTAACAAACAGAGATATGGCTGATCATCGTTTTATTTATTGTAATTGCGAAACTTTCGACTGTCTAAAGGTGTGATGATATTTTGAAAATGAATCTCTCATCGCGTCGCAGATTGTTTTGTTAACTTTTGGATATTAAAAGTGAAATGCACGTTTAGTAGTAGTAAAGATACTATACATGCGGAAGATTTACGAATGCTTTCTTAAAATCACTCAGTTCAAATTTCGGTTTTCGTTTAGTGAACATATGGAAATTTCATTCTTTTCGTTTTTAATTTTTACTCAATTTTACAAATTCGGAATCAGCGTAATATAATTTCCGCAGGGATATCTCATCTCTTCAATTAATCGTCAGTCGTCGAATACAGTCACTTAATAGGACGTTGCACTGATTTTTGCTAACTATTGGTCCTCATTTTTCGAAGACGCGATCTCGACATATTATCTCATCTGAACTGCGTAACAAAAAGTAGAGATTGATTAGAGGAATTGTTCTTGATAAAGAAAAAATGTTGTATTAAAAAAAGAAAAAAACTTATTATTCGTTATATGCGCTGGTATTGAGCTAAAAATAGTCCTTTGTAGCCGAAACTATTTTGCTGATAGCATCTTTGGTATACGTTGATATGATTAATAGTTTTTGTACCGGAGTTACGTTACGCATCAATTCCTGATTTGATGCGCATACAAGTTCAAGTTATAATGCAGGATATGCCATAATCCAAGTCATCATTCAAACTTTCTCATTGAGATGCAATATTCTCTTTTCTTGTCTTGTATCATATTTTTGCATCTTGCTGCGCCAAGAGAAGGCTATGAAGTGCATATGTTGGATCGATATTTTTCAAATATGGTTACAGTTAATAGGTTGGAAGGCCAGAGAACATAAATTCACCGAATTACCGAAAAGAAGAAAAACTAATAATTTGCAAGAATTACTATCACTTCTGCCCCCCCCGCCCCTCCTCAAGTAGTAGTAGACTTTAACAAGCAGATTATGACAATCAAATAAATGCAGTCGTCCCACGATCGATGCATTGATTATGCAAATATATATAATTTGTTCATTTCTTTCTTACATTTTTTTATATTTCGCAGCTTCACGTGAGAATACTGCACACCTAACGACATCTACTATCGCCATTGCTTCATTATACATTATTAAGGAAATATATAAAATTTGCTATATGAACATAAATAATGTTTCTTCCTTTCTTCTAACTATTTATTAAATGTGAATTCTAAAAAAAAATAAAATAATAAAATAAATAAAATAACAATAAAAGCAAATATCTACACGTACACATAGTTTATCATTAATCCTAGTATATCTTATCTTCTCTTCTCCATTTAATTTGCAGTTTCTATGGATGAGTCACAATTTGAATCTCCGCCCTTGACTCCAGAAAAGGTACTCGAATTAATTGAACAAGCCTATCCGAATCCGATAACTCCAGAGGATTTAGCCAAGTATGAATTTTAAAAATAACAAATACATATATCTTATATATATATACATATATACATATATATATCTATCTATGTAGAGATTACGGTTGGGATGAACAAGATGTTATATTGGTCTTTATATCGCTCAAGGAGAGAGGTTTAATCAAATCAATGGAATATAATTCTTATACGCGTATACATCATGAAGATAAAGAAATTAAAGTAAGCGAATTAACCGATAATCATAAAATTGATACGTTTTTTTTTTCGAGCAATTAATTTTTAAACTTCAATTTCAAAGGTTGTTAAACAAATGCCGACCATGGCTTCAAACAAGCAACCGACTATAGCTATAATAACGGCACAATATTGTGAAAAATTAGCTGTTGATGCGATGTTCGAAAATAAGGAGACATTTGTACGCTACACGACAGTAGGTAAGTCTGTAATGAATTGAAAATTGAAATAAAAAAAAAAAAAAAAAAAAACGACTAACAATTGTTACGAAATCATAAAATTATTAATCGAAAAAAAAAATGTTTTTCTCTATTTTCTTTTTCTGTTCCCTGTTTTTGTATTACCAAACATCTGAAAACCTTGTACATGTGAATCTAACATAAATTAAACAAAAAAAAAAAAAAAAAAAAAATAATATAAATAAAAAATAAATGAAAAAATAAATCGAAAACAATAAATTCAGACACCGATCCCAATCTAACGAATTCTTTGAAAAAGTCTAAAAAGAAAAGACGTTTTGGTAAGACACGCTTTTAGGTTTTTTATGGAAATTTATTGAAAAATTGTTTTAATTAATTGTGTGTGTGTGTGTGGTAATAGTTATTTATGTTTTTTTTTTTTTTTTTTTTTTTCCTTCTGTCTATAAATGGGTTTTGGATACCACGATCTGTGTATTTAGTATATGCATAAGTTTGTAGCGAAACTATTTTAGATCATATTCCCATTTTTGTGTTCACATAGAAATTAATGCCGACATTTTCAAAAAAAAAATATGCTTCCAAAATCTCATTTACGAAATATAAAAAAATGCATCGAAAATCGAGAAAGCGATACGCATCGCGAACGGACCGAATATCGTAATTAATTTGTTAAAGAAACTGTTTCGAAATATTAACGAAATTTACTCGATTTTCGCTACGAATTTATGAATAAAAGCATATCGCTATGCTATCCTTGTAAATCTAAAGCAAATTCAGTTGAGCACATTTATGTAAATATGCATTTGCGTACGCAGTCCCGTTCCAATAAAACGCAAGCACCATTTCACCATTTTTATTCATTTTTCGTCACCAATAATAAAAAAAAAAAAAAAAAAAAAAAAAAAAAAAAAAAAAATTTAAATTCACTATGTAGTGTAGATGTTTGTTTTTACTTTATAAGCATTTTCAAATATTTTCTAATAGAAATTTGTCTTCATCTTAGGCGAATCGAATGTTTATACACTGGGTAATATTGGTGCTCATCGTATTGTTAGCACTAAGCTTCCCTCGGTGGGTAGCACACGTGAGGCAATGACAGCTACTGGTAATACTACCACACGTTTATTGGGCACATTCCAAAAAGTTGATTATGTCTTTGTCGTGGGAGTGGCTGGTGGTGTACCACATTACACGGATTACAAAAAACATGTACGCTTAGGCGATGTTGTTATATCATATGTGGATAAGCAAAGAGCTTTGGATAATAGGTGAGTTAATCTACGCAGCAATTGTTTATACTTAACAAAAAAACTTTTCATATCATTGAATAGCAGAAAAACACTTTTTTTTTTTATTTTTTTTTTTGCTTTAAAATAAAACTCATTTTCACACCCGTCAGTGGATGTATATTAGCTTGGCTAAGGTAGAAATATGCAACAGAGACTCTCTGGAACATGCATATATTCACGATCACCATAAAGGGAGGAAAGAGATGAATTTACATTCACAAGAAAGTAAATTGGGTCTCTTATTAGTTCTTATCATTGCAAAAGTGAAGTTCGGCAATTAGTCCAACTTGGTGCACAGGCACGCCCAAAATTATTTCCTCTTTTTTTTTTTGCGAATATTATGGCCCTAAACTTACAAACTTTCGTCTTTATTTGTCCCGCCTAGTAAGATCTCAAGGTCAAGCTTGAAAATCTCTTGAACAAAATATCGACGTGTGGCCCGAAATTAAGCAAAAATCACATATTTATGAACCAAGTGTAATATCCTATCTTTGTTTGCAAAGATTTTTTATGAGGAGGGTGCTTACAGAGAGACGGGAAAAAAAGGGTTGAAAACATCGAACGAACCAGAGAAACCATCCTCACGAAAAATACTGCGATCTCTCGACGCTTGCGGTTTGTAAATGGCCTAATGTGATATGCAGGAAAGCTATTCAGACTTCTAATGCTTGCATGGAGGCCTGTAAATGCAGCCATGGTGGACATTTGACTGATACACTTTTTCGTATACAAGGCCTTTAAATAATTGTTGTTTTTTGTTTAGTGGAATTTTTTCATGATCGTTTCGAGATTTTGTATAAAAATGCAATCAAAAACTTTTCCACATAAATTAATTCATATTTCACTGACAACACGAAATATCTTGGTGGATAAGGTCATTGACAGCTCGTGGATTATTGGAGTGTAAGCTCAAGTTCTAATATAAGCCCAAAGTAAAGCAAGTCCTTTATGGCAAACTCTCACAGGCTTTTTTAGAGATCATTTAATCATTGAACTCTTCTCCTCTTTGATTTGGTCGCGACTTGTATACCGTCCTGCCTCATTTTGTCGAAACCACATATTGTCCAAGCCGAAACCATTTACTTCGTGCCACAAATGTGTGTACGATGTGTTTCATGTTCGTACCTGACATTTTCAATCCACAAATCACACCCAAGTATGATTTTTGTGCACGTGAAACTCGTTCGAGAATTTTAGATGTGTTTTCTTCACGACAATAGGCCAATTACTCTATTTTGTGCAAAGTCATTTAATCAAATATGTCCTTCATTCCATGCCCACAAATCGTAATTGTGAGTTCATAGTTTTCATAATAAGTTCGAAGATCCAAACAATGTATTGATACCGTGACGAAAGATCGATATTGGTTTGGTAGCGATCCATTTTCGCACTTTGTCAGCATTTCCACGACTTTGCTGATCCCTGACGCACAAGAAAACTTTATAGGTAAGAATATTCCACTTCGGTGTTGATGTGGATGGCTTTCTTGCATTAACCCATTGCCTTTTGCACTTGGGATTGTCGTAATAGATCGAGATTTCATCGTCAGTCACATTGCCTGAGAGACAATGAAAACACGATATTGAAACGGTTTGAAAAGGCTTTTTGAGATCAATTCGTATGGGAGCCATTTTCCCTTCTTTTGGATCTTTCCCATCCCATGTAAATCGTCTAGAAAGAGTTGATTAGTTAACTGCTAAGCTGTTTGAAAGTTCTTTGACATCTTGAGCTAGATTTTCATCCAATAAGTCTTGTAGTTCGTTGTCTTCGAACTTTTTTGATCCTCCAGGCGGTTTGTTGTCATCGAGATCAAAACCACCATTTTTGAAGCGTTGAAAGCAAAACCGACAATTGCGATATGACGGAGCAGCACCATTATAAACTTCTAAAAGTGTTTGATGGGTTTCTTCAAATCGAAGAACAAAAGCAATGAAGGTCGCGAATATCGTATCTTGAGTACTCCTTGGTCTGTATACACTAAATAATTCAATAATACTAAATGGAAGACAGTTAGTTTTTGTAGAGAATGGTGAAAATGATCGAATTTATTCGTTTATCATTTTCACCAATAAATGTCGCTGATCGAGATGCATGCAAGTAAAAAATAAATTTTTAAGTTTTTAAAAAAATTCTATACCCGGGAATAGAATTACGCTCAAATTATACGTAACTTAATCGAAATGCAATGGATATCATAATAATGACAGAAGACTACTCTCAATGTGCTTTTCAATAAGTTTTGACTAACTTTGAATTTTATTCTTGTGTGCAGCTCTGGGAAGCCGTATGTTTATATTTATAAGACTGGAGAAGATGTGAAAACCTATTTTCCGATTAATGATTCATTGCAACAAATTGCCGAAGGCTTGCAGGCAAATATGGAAGTTAAACGTCCCTGGGAAACTTACCTTAAGGAAGGCCTTAAGATGTTAATGCAAAAAACCGAAAGTGATTTTAATCGCCCCGCCGCCAATACGGACAAACTTTTCATGAATATTGGCAATAATGAGGTCATTGAAGTCTCACATCCCATTGGTGCCGATAGCGTAGATGACGTGCCAAAGACACGTTTACATTTAGGACCCATTGGTTCCGGCAGAGATTTGGTGCGTAACGATAGTTTACGCTTGGAATTTGCCAAAAAATACGGCCTATTAGCTACGGATGTCGAAATGAGTTCCGTATTGGACAGTATTATTGGCAATTGTCGGGAAAGTTTTATTCTGGTTAAAGGTAAAATCCTAAATGATTGATTGATAAGAAATGATTCATTAATGTTTTCGTTCTCTTTTCAAGGTATTTCTGATTATAAAGATGGTACTACTACACGTAAATGGCAAAATTTTGCTTCGTTAGCCGCCGCCTCTGTGGTAAAGTCCATAATATGCGGCATGGATGCTCCTACAAATGTTTAAAAGTCGCAGTTAACATATAACCAGAATATTATTAATAAAAAGCATTTAATATTTTTTTTAAAAGTATAATTTTTTTACAGAAATTTTATACGGAAAAATTGAAAAAAAAATTGATTTTTACATTTTTGCTAAATAACCGAAGAATTGCATTTTGTTTGTATTTTAAAGAAATTTTTTTTTTTTTTTGTTATAATTTTTATAATTTATTAATTTTTTGTTGACCATGAAATTTTTTATATATTAAATAATTACTTAACAATTGAAATTTAAATGCATTATATACATATTTATAAATTTATATATGCGCAATAATTAATACACATATACTCTTGTAAATAAATAAATTGAATTATTAAAATGAGTCATAATAATGATACCTCTCTTTAATTAACATCCAAGAAAAGATGGAGATGGAAATTCCTGAAAGTCCTGGAAATGATCTTCTATACTAAGTCTCCTAGACAATAGTAATGCAATGGCCTTTGTATAGGATCTTTTTGATCATTGTAAATTTCATGCCCTATTTGAAGAGTGAATATACATACAGGAGTAAAAGCTTCACTGCTGCTTGGGTGATAGAGATGCATGATTACGATCATGATCACGATCACGTTTTTTTTTAAATGAAATTCTTCTGAGTAATGAGATTCACATTCATCTGCCTAGGTAAGTAAATAAGGAAAGTTGTCAGTCATCGCGAATTCTAAAAACCTAAGCGAAGTAGCCGTACAATCTATCCAGGCACACCTGTCTACAGTTTGGTGCAGTGTCTTGGCTGGCGGTACAATTAATGCGTATTCTTTCGAAAAGGCTGCTTATCCAGTTGTTACAGAGTGAACGATATCTATTTTCAATGTCAAGGCGCCATTGGCCACTCACAGCTGATAACACAATAGTTCTATGGCGCGATTGATTTCAGACACTTCCAATTAAAGGATCCTGTGCATATCAAGCCCCAAGAATTCTATTAAGGTCCGTCAAGTTAACATAGTCATAGGCTTTGCTGATATCTAGCGAAAGCATGACAAACATTTTATCAGCTTTTTTAGAATCGATAAGAGAACGAGTCTCTCATTGACGCATATATTCGTAAATTTGTGTTCCTGATAGGCATAGGAACGAGCTGGATTAATGTTCCCGGTTCTCAAGAAAATATATTAGCCTCTCCTTAACCATGAGGTTAATAAATTTTATGAATACAAATATTAGCGAAATGGGTCCACAGCTGCGTTATTCATTTAAGTCCGTATCTGCTTTCGCAATAGGGAACAACCGAAATACCTCGCAAATCCAAGGGCATAAGATTATTAGACCAACAATTATTAATTGGATGTAACAAGACAGACATTGATTGGCATTTGGAATATAACTCTTGAGTATGTGTAATGTCTTGTATTGCATGCTCATTCCGTATAGCGCAACCATTTAATTTTCGACTAAATTTTCGATGGCTGTCGATATAATTCCAGAAAAGACGTGAGCTGGCATTTGCCACATATCTCTTTCATTATGATACTATCTAACTGCGGTCCTCCATTCCTTCAGTGTATTCATACACTCAATGAAATTGGCTGGATTGGCGTATTTACTCATTTTTTTCCCTGCAGCCTGATATTTGCGGATGGGTGTTGACATGGGTGGATTCCATCACGCTTTAGGTGAGAAGGGCTGAATATCAGAGTAGTTGTTTCTAACAGACTTGATCTCAGATTGAAAAATACCTTGAATTGATGACAGATTAGATGGAAGATCAAGTGTAAACACACGGTCCATTAAGAATTTGCATGAAATTAAATTTTCGATTTTTTGTACAGAATTGCTGCAACTTTGCAATAAAATGGAAGAGTGTTTGCTCTTACCAATCAAGACATTAGTAGTATTCCAGTTAAATAATAAAATAGTTGAATTAGAGAGTTTGACACTACTCGCCGTGCGGTCACGCCTTAAAATATTGTTATAAAGTGGGAATAAAATCAACGACCGGAAGAACACGAAAGTTGAACTTAATAGATTTAGGAGAGGACTTAAAACTGATTTTCATATCAGCTTTAGGGATGAGCTCATTTTTGTCGTAAGGGTTTCATCTCCGAAGCCTAACATCAGACCTTATTCGCATGTCAGAAATAGCATTTTTAAGAAAATCATTAACATCATAATTCAATGGGACGTTTCGAACTATACCGAATCTTCCCGTACCGGATCTTTTGTATATATGCTTGTCATTATTCTGAATGAAAGAGTTGGCATGGTGGGCAGCTTTAAAAAAATAACCTGCCTCTGCCTTTGTTTACTATTTGAAGCTCTTTTAAACCAGACATATCAGAACTTTAAATGTATCCATAAAGGAAAAGGTGGGATGAGATATTGATACGTTTGCCGGCAACATTTTCACATGTCTTAACAAATACAAAGAAACTAAGCAGCATATCACAGTCATATAAATTGATTTCATAATTCGAAATATTATTATTGTACTTCAGTAATAAAGAAAAATATGCACAGAAAAAATATTCAACTGCCCTTTGCCTAAATAATAATGTAAGGTTAGCTTAGTTTTGATTGTTGGTTAAGATCTAAGTGACGAGACTATCTTTGAGAAAAATTGAAAACAAATTTTTTAATTTAATCGGATCGCTTTAATCCCTTTAACATAATTTTCATTCATCTAACAAAGTATTAAGTTGGCCAGTATTCGGAATTATTTTTATTAATAAATTTTAGATTAAAAAATGAACAGATGTTGTATCTATGCATTTATGATTTCAAGATTAACGAACAGCTGTTGGATGGAATTTAATTTAATAATTTTATTCGCAGAGAGCACAAGCATATAGAGTACTCTTCTATAAATGAAAGTTAATCCATCCAAATGTCAAAAAACTGGAAAATCTACAGAAAATGTTATTTGATTTGTCTCTTTCCAGAGAGCTTCTCGTATAAATTAAGGATTCCATATACGCATATACATATAAATACTGAATGAGAAGATGGAGTAAAAATGTAAGCTGAGAGAGGTTCATGTTAGCTGTTCGTGTTATTCGTTAGCCGGGCGGTATTGTAGTTGTGTGATGTAGTTTGAGATTGCGTTTGAGCAGCAATTAAGAGACACGTGGAGTTTTATTTCATATGATTTTTTGTGCGATATGTTAATAAAATACATTAAAAACTTTGTTGTTCAAATAGAGGTAAGTTTTTTTTTTATTTAAAAAACTTTACATTTTATTATCGTCATTATGTTTATAATGTAAAATAATTCATCACTGACATGAAGGCTGGATAACTAAACAATTCATCGAATTCTAGTGTTTACATACATATATATAGCTATTGCTCAATCATTCCGATATTCGAAGGCAGCTCTCAATGAAACTCGATGAAACATATTTGAATGATTGAAAGATAGAAAGAAATCTATAAGTTTCACAAATTTCGAAATGTTTATAAATGTGAAGACTGATATTCTTTGTCAAAACTATTAGGGAGTTGGCGCATTCACAATAAACCTCTTGCCTAATTTTCTCTCTATAGTTGATTCATTTCGATTTTCTTACCTTAGAGATTTCATAGGCAAGCATATATAGAAATAATATTTTCTCTTGTTTATCCTTTCGATAAATCTTACTTAACACTCACCGGTTATTTATTTACTGTTTTGACAAACGTTCAAAGCAAAAGCGAATACTCAGATATTTTCCTTTTCTCATTGCTTTTGCAACGTTCAAGAGTAGCAGTAAATAGCTGCGATAGTTCTTTGACCATTATAAGACTGCGAATTGCCTCCGTTATGTTTTGATTCTCTTCTGCTTGAACGTTCAAAATTGCAGTTAATTTTACGGCTAACGTCCACGAATCGCCTTTGGAAATGAAGATAATTTGTGCGCAGACAAAATTGTATCAAAAAAAAAAAAATTGAAAATATTTCTGCTCGTTTTTTAGCAGGAATAAATATCATCTACTGATACTCTTGATCGGACTATTAGAAGCCTTAGAAAGAATTTTTGTATCTTTTATGCAGTTACTTAAGATAGATTGTGTTGAGGATTTGCCACAAAGTATTTATTTATATTAGCTTATAACATGTTTTAAATTGTATCCGGTCATTCACATCCAAATATCTCATATGATTCAATATGTATATATAATAATTTGATGCTTACCACCGAAGGGGACACGGATAGAAGAAATTCCTCATTATCTTTATTAAAAGGTGGAATTACGTATTAGAGTGCATAAGAGGATATATATATATATATATATATAAGTCGGTATAAGATTTCGTATCGAGCCAGGCATATTCGTTTGTATGTCCGTCCCTGTGAAAAATTATGGTCTATGTGTAGTTGATTACCAATGACCGAACTTAAAACGGGACGGGATCAGAGCTATTCTGGAATTATTGAAATCAAGAACAATTTTAGATAAAAAAAAAAATTTTTTTTTTTTCAAAATTAAAGCCAAATTTAATCCAATAATTTCATTCCCATTTACATAGACTAACATTCATTATAAGGCTTCATATGTTTTACACTACATCACATTTGTTCGGAATGGTAGGTATCCAAGATTCGCCTTAAGTCAACTATAGCTTTCTCACTTGTTGCTCCCACTTTGATTCCAGCTTCTGAGTGTATAAGTATTAGTATTAGTATAAAATAATGAAATGTTCAATAGCTAAGCTGAAGAGAATTTCTCCTCGTTAGTCGTGTTAGTCGTTTATTAGCGGCCAATTAAGGTGGTTGTGCTTTACATTTACGGTTATATTTTGAAAATAATCTAAAACCACGTGGAGTTTTATTTAACAAAATTTAAGTAGTACGTTTTCAATAAAAAGAAATCACAGAACGAACATATTTAAATAAATGTGAGTTTTTTTTGTTTTTGTTTTTGTTTTATTGAAAGAACCAGTTTAAGTAGTGCCTTAAGGAAACAGAGCAATTGTTGAAATAATGGAAGAAATATTAAAAGCTTATTAAAATCTGACATTCATATAAAATATATATGTGCATATTATTAAAAGGTGTTGGAGAAATGGATGGAGCGGGGGGCGGAGAGGGAAGAGGGACGAAAGTACAAATAACTTATGCCTGAACATAGTCAAACGCAAATTTATTACTTCAAATTTCCCATAACATGTTTTTATAAACCCATTTATTTGCAGAGAGATATTTAATATTTATTCATGTCTTCAATTTCTAAAAGTTTACATGTTATAAACAAAAAAAAAATTTAATCAACTCAAAACAAATAACTATTTATTAACTCTGGCAATTGTTGTAATAGCATTCTGTCTGCGATAGCAAAAACAGTTTGCATATTTTAATACTTGAGGAGTAATATTCTTTTGCTGTTTCACATGACGTTACGTGTGCTAGACAATAAATAAATTATTGTTATTGTCATTGAATTACTTTTATTTGCTTCCAATAATAGTATTTCTTTTATTTACTCTCATAAATGATAGCGTAAAGAGAAGGCACGATGCAAATATCAAATCAATTTGTAAACAAAGTTTTCAATTTTTGTACAATTGATTAGAATAAGGAAGTGTCATATGATATATTTATATATATATATATATATAATATATGTGTGTGTGTAAAAGCGCAGAACGTTCTCATAATATGCTTGCTATTTTACACTTCTTTCTTTTTATTTATATAAGATTTGTTTGTAAAATATCCATTGAATCGACATAGGTATGGGCAATAATGCAGTTTAACTTAACAAGTTTGCTTTTTATACCCACCAGCTAGCCATCATGTCAAAATATTTGCAATGCCTAGAAGTAAGGTTTAGAAACTACAAATTGTGAATCGATTTAAGCATGTTCGTCTGTCCGTCTGTCTTTCTGCGTAATATTGTAAACATACTCTTGGCCGTAAACACAAAGCTATCAACTTCAAATTTTGGCAGAAACATTGGAAGTTTTTGTGGGCACACGATGGTATTGAAAATGGGCCAAATTGATTGAAGGCACGCCCACAGCACCACCTAAATTGAGAACATCTCTGTTTTTCAAAGGGAATGAAAAATTCATTTTTTGCTCATTACTCATAAACTATAGCAAATAAATGTACAAAAATTTGATCGCATATTCTATGGGCGATGCTGTAGCGTTCGTGTGCAAAAATGGAAAAAATTGATCACGCCTACCCAATATTACAGTATAGCAATAATTAATTTCTGTTTCAATACCTTTGTAACGAGCAGTAAAAATCTGTGTTTCAAATTTGGAACATGTCCATCTGTCCATCTGTCTATCTGACCAATTGTTTAGCCGAAAAGAAGATATCGCCTACAAATTTGCAAAAGGCCAAAGAACACGTCTAAACCGCCCACACGTCTCCAAAGCCAAAAATGAAAGTCACTTTGCTTTCCCTGTCTCTTGCTCGTTCATCATATACTAAAACAGACGCACAATATATATTTCCACAAAATTATTTTACAAAAATAGTATAACAGCGATGGGTACAAAAAATTCGGTCGCAATCGAATATAATTTTCTTACTTTTTTTCATTGAGTCATTTCGATAAAGATACTATGCAGGATGTGGCCATAGAAAAATAAATTTTAAGATTAAATTCTTAAAGCACTAGAATTTAAGTTCTATCGCTTTTATTGAAAATTTTACCGCACTTGGGATTTGAACTCACGACGATCGAGTTTTTAGTCGAGATTCTTTGCCCCATTCGATCACTTGGGCCGTTAGTATATATATATATGATATTAAAACAAGTAAGAAACTTATATACAGCGGCGGCTGAATCTTGCATAACCGCTACTACGCCTTTCCCATTCTACTCTCCAAATTCTTTTATTTGATACCCATATCGCTGGAATTATTAAGAAAAAATTAGTCGAATAGGTCGCGGTATTTATCATATTCATCTCAGAATTAACTCAGATAGTATGTCTTCATTCGAGGAATGTACAAAATAATTTTAGACATTCTGCCTTGTTTGCGTTATGATAAATAAGCATAAAACCTCAAAAAAGTGAAAGAAAGATAATTTAATCGCCTTTAATTTAGTACGGGCATGGCTGAATTTTCTCAATTTTGCATATAAAGAGTAGAGTGTTTCGTAAAGTAGTAGTAAAGTGCCAACAATAAAAACACCAAACAGACAAACATATGGACAGACATGGCTGAATCAACTCAGAATTTCATGCTGATCATATGGTCACTGAAACTTCGTTTTGAGCGTTACATACTATATGGAAAAAAACAAAATGAGTACACCCTCAGCTTACAGTGGCGGAATAATTTAGTAAAAAATTTCCCTTATTTATTAGTATCAATATTGATTGATCTTTAAATTAACTTGAAGTTAATATATTATGCTCTTCAACTGATCAGTTCTTCTTCCAATAAATTCTTCACATTTTTTCCGGTTAGCACTATTGATAAATATAGTAAATAAAGCTTTGGCCCTAATAGGCCTATATTAAGTAACAACACAGAATTGTCTCGAATCATATGCATTTTTTTTTTCTATATGATCTTTGTGACTTAATAAGCTTGTTTCGCAACATAATTGATATTGGAAAGCTGTGTTTGTAACTATTGCTTGAGAAAATTCCACCTTTGCTGCTAAATCACAAAAAACTATCACAAAGAAACGCATTGTTTTCTCGCATGATACATTACGATTGCAATGCTAGAATACGACTGTAAGTTTCATGTTTCCCGTCCATCTTTTTTTGGGCGAAATACTTTACACGTACAAACTTATTAAGCAGGTATAAAAAATGGTTAATTTTAATATGACACAATGGAAGTCTTCTGTGCGTGTAGCAAAACGAAGTGAGGAAATAGAAAGAGATAGGAAGGTGATCACCGTAACTTAGCGTTTGCGGTTAACAATACCTACTCTACTGCCCTTGAACTTTGAATTCGCGAGCACTGAAATTCTTAACCATTCGGCTACTAACGTGCCTCTCCTTTTAGGTAACTATATCAATTTTATTAAATATTTATTATGCGTAACGCTGCTCGAAGTTGTATTTTTGTTAAAAGTTTGGCATGGTGGTTTACCACAGGTGTGGCGATGGCTGTCTAAATTATCGTGTCGTGTTGGTACTGAAGAGTAATTTTCACTGTTTTTAAATCGATTATAGCACATTTCTTATGCTATTGTAATTTAGTTCAGTTTCATGTCTTTGTTGCTCTTTTACACAAGTCGTTACTGCTGGTTAACGAGAGAGAGAACCAGTTATCTCTAATAAAAAACTAATATAAAAAGAAAAGGGAACAAAGCAATAAGAAGTAAGAAATTAATGCTTTACAAAAGTAATTAAACGAAAAAATACACTAAGGGCAATTAAATCGTAAGCGACGGAGCAATTTGGAAGCGATGATGGAATCGATAAACCGACACCTGGCCATGGCTAGCGGTAAAAATTGCTAACGTGTACTTTCTTAATAACCAATATGCTATATTCATCACCAGAAATTTTTATTAATCTTTAATTTCATAATGTCCTTTCAATAAATACGTTCAATATACCAAAATTTTTGTCAATTTTTAACCCTTTAATGTCTTTTTCATTTTACGACACTGTCAAGCAAGGTAAAGCAAGAAGGAATATATGCTTTTTGCCAGAATCTCTGCGACATGCCGAGAGAATTTCCGATGAACCTGAAAAGTGTGTGTATTCTTGATCGCTTATCAAATTTTGAATCGATTTAAGCGTTCCCTGTCCGTCTGTCCTATAATATTTAGTTCGTCGCTTCAAATTCGGCAAAAGCATTGGGAATTGGAAACGGTATTGTTGTTTGTGGCTTTCGGTCGGTACAACGAGAAAAATTGTCGCGTGTATATGACGTAACTACAGCGTCTACGGAAAGATGTCGAAAGTCAGTCACGGCCATTCTCGAGGTGAGAGTCCTTCGTTGTGAGTAACGGAAATTGCAACGATTTTTTACGATTTGCGAACATAATGTGTAGCCTTTGCTGATGATTATAAAAGGCAAAAAAATAGGGAGCACTTGACCTTAACTAGTGTTGAAAGGAACAAGAATTTGTATTGTATAAGTTTTTTTATTTCAACACTTAAAAATGCTTTTACTTTTTTATATATCACGTTTGTTTTGCTGATTTGAACATTGTTTAGATTTTTTGTTATTAGTAATTCACTTACCTTCTTTCATTGATCATTTCAGTTTGCCATTGCTTAACTTTTTTAGTTATTCAATTTAACTATCATCATCATGTCTGCTAGTCCCGATTGCTTCCTTATCCTTGAGGATTCTACTATTCTCTCAGGTAAAGCTTTTGGTGCACATTTGCCAGTCGATGGTGAAGTGGTTTTTCAAACCGGAATGGTTGGGTATCCGGAATCCATGACTGATCGTTCATATCGATCTCAAATATTAGTTCTGACATATCCTTTGATTGGTAATTACGGTGTACCTAGCTTTGCTGAAAAAGACGAATATGGTTTACCACAGCATTTTGAATGGTTGGATGGAATTTCTGTTGCCGCGTTAGTAGTAGGAGAAATTTGTGAAACACCATCTCATTGGCGTGCTAAGGAAACTCTATCGAGTTGGATGGAGCGTCATAAGGTGCCTGGTATTAGTGGTGTGGACACGCGTGCTTTAACAAAGAAAATTCGTGAAAACGGAACTATTTTAGGTCGTTTGGTCTATGAGTATCCCAGCAATTTGGAGTCTTTAACGTTTCCTGATCCTAATATACGAAATTTAGTCGCGGAATGTTCAGTCCAAGAACCTATGGTTTTCAATGAATTGGGTTCACCACGTATATGTGCTATTGATTGTGGCCTAAAATTGAATCAAGTAAAATGCTTTATATCTCGTGGTGCACGCGTTGAATTGGTACCTTGGAATTATAATTTGGACGAAAGCAAATATGATGGTCTATTTATTTCTAATGGTCCTGGTGATCCAATTATGTGCAAAGAGACTGTCGAACAAATCAGAAAAGTCGTGGGATCGGGTCAAAAGCCTATATTTGGTATATGTTTGGGTCATCAACTATTAGCCACCGCTATCGGCTGCGAAACTTACAAAATGAAATACGGCAACCGAGGACATAACTTGCCGTGCATACATCATGACACGGGCCGTTGTTTCATGACCTCGCAAAACCATGGATTTGCTGTCAATACGGAGACTTTACCCAAGGGTTGGGAGCCTTTGTTTACCAATATTAATGATAATACGAATGAAGGTTTGTGTTGCAATCTAACGAGATAAACTCATTTTAATCTTCATTTCTTCTTCTAGGCATTATCCATAAAATAAAACCTTATTTTTCGGTGCAATTTCATCCAGAACATACTGCTGGTCCCGAAGACCTAGAGGTGTTGTTTGATATTTTCTTGGAAGCGATTAAATCACAAAATGAATCTTCAATAAGTTTACGTCAGCGCCTAATCGATTGTCTAGCTTACGTACCAAAACCGGAGAGCACTTTTAAAAAATTGCCTCGCAAGGTTCTTATCTTGGGTTCAGGTGGTCTTTCCATTGGTCAAGCCGGTGAATTCGATTATTCCGGCTCTCAGGCTATCAAAGCGATGAAAGAAGAAAAAATTCAAACTGTGCTTATAAATCCTAATATTGCCACCGTGCAGACATCCAAAGGTTTGGCTGACAAATGTTATTTTTTGCCCTTGACGCCAGAATACGTTGAGCAAGTGATTAAAGCCGAAAGACCAAATGGAGTTTTATTAACTTTCGGCGGGCAAACAGCATTAAATTGTGGCATAGAATTGGATAGTTTAGACGTCTTTACCCAATATAACGTGAAAATTTTAGGAACTCCTATTAAATCAATTATTGAAACTGAAGATCGTAAAATCTTCGCTGAACGCATTAATGAGATCGGCGAACGAGTGGCACCCTCGCAAGCTATCTCATCGGTCGAGGAAGCTCTACTAGCAGCTAAACGTATAGGTTATCCGGTTATGGCTAGAGCTGCTTTCTCTCTAGGAGGTCTGGGATCAGGTTTTGCTGATTCTGAAAAAGAATTGGAAACTTTAGCTCATCAAGCTTTTGCTCATTCCAATCAATTAATTATCGATAAGTCTTTAAAAGGCTGGAAAGAAGTTGAATACGAAGTAGTGCGAGATGCGTTCAATAACTGTATTACGGTTTGTAACATGGAAAATCTAGACCCGTTGGGCATCCATACGGGAGAAAGCATTGTTGTGGCACCTTCGCAAACCTTATCTAATCGCGAGTATAATATGTTGAGAACTGCTGCGCTGAAGGTTATACGTCATTTCGGTGTTGTTGGCGAATGTAACATACAATTTGCCTTGAGTCCTTATTCGGAGGAGTATTACATTATTGAAGTTAATGCGCGATTATCTAGAAGTTCGGCTTTGGCCAGCAAAGCCACGGGCTACCCGTTGGCTTATGTGGCCGCCAAGCTTTCTCTGGGTATTTCGTTACCCAGCATCAGGAACTCAGTGACAGACGTAACGACTGCTTGCTTTGAACCCAGTCTAGATTATTGCGTAGTGAAGATACCCCGATGGGATTTGGCAAAATTTGTGCGTGTCAGCAAGAATATCGGCAGTTCCATGAAGAGTATCGGTGAAGTAATGTCCATTGGTCGGAACTTTGAAGAAGCCTTTCAGAAGGCATTGCGTATGGTAGATGATACAGTTCATGGATTTGATCCCTATCATTACAAAGGTAATAATGAGGAACTAAAAGAGCCCACCGATAAGAGGCCTTTCGTTCTTGCTGCAGCTTTGAAAGACAACTATTCTATTGACGAATTGCATAGTTTGACTAAAATCGATAAATGGTTTTTAAACAAAATGCTTAACATTGTGAAGTTCTACACTTTAATGGAAAAAACCGGCAATATTTTGACCGCTCAACAAATTTTAGAAGCCAAACGCATGGGTTTTTCTGATAAACAGATAGCGCAAGCTATTAATAGCACGGAGTTGGCAGTGCGTAAACAACGTCAAGGGTTAGGGATAACACCGTTTGTCAAACAAATTGATACGGTGGCCGGCGAATGGCCTGCAACCACTAATTATTTATACATAACATATAATGCCGCCGAAAATGATATCGATTTTCCAGGAGGCTTCACCATTGTAGTAGGCTCAGGAGTTTACCGCATTGGCTCTTCTGTCGAGTTTGATTGGTGTGCAGTTGGCTGTTTGCGTGAATTAAGAAATCTTGGCAAATCCACAATTATGATTAACTGTAATCCGGAAACTGTCTCTACTGACTACGATATGTGTGACCGATTGTATTTTGAAGAAATATCTTTTGAAGTGGTAATGGACATTTACGAACTGGAACGTTCCGAAGGCGTTATACTGTCAATGGGCGGACAATTGCCCAATAATATAGCAATGGATTTACATCGCCAACAAACAAAAGTTTTAGGTACTTCCCCCGAATCTATAGACCGTGCTGAAAATCGTTTTAAATTTTCTCGTATGCTGGATAGCAAGCGTATATTACAACCAAAGTGGAGTATATTAACCGATCACAAAGCGGCTGAAGAATTTTGCCGAGAAGCTGGATACCCTTGTTTGGTTAGACCGTCCTATGTGCTATCTGGGGCTGCAATGAATGTTGCCTATTCTGATCAAGATTTACTGACTTATCTAAATGCTGCTTCTCGTGTAAGCAAAGAACATCCAGTCGTTATAACGAAATTCGAAATCGACGCGAAAGAAATTGATGTTGACGCAGTCGCTGCAGATGGCGAAATATTATGCATGGCCGTGTCTGAACATGTAGAAAATGCGGGAGTCCATTCCGGAGATGCTACGTTGGTAACACCCCCACAAGATTTGAATACAGAAACATTGGAAAACATTAAACGTATTACTCGTGATTTGGCCGCTTTGCTAGATGTAACCGGACCTTTTAATATGCAGCTTATAGCCAAGAATAACGAGTTGAAAGTTATTGAGTGTAATGTACGCGTGTCACGGACATTTCCTTTTGTATCGAAAACTTTAAATCATGATTTTGTGGCCACGGCTACCAGAGCTATCATGGGTTTGCCCGTCGAACCAGTAGACGTATTGCATGGAGTGGGAAAAGTTGGTGTCAAAGTGCCTGTTTTTAGTTTTTCACGTTTGGCTGGCGCCGACGTGCAGTTGGGTGTCGAAATGGCTTCAACGGGGGAGGTAGCTTGCTTCGGCGACAATCGTTTTGAGGCCTATTTAAAAGCCATGATGTCGACAGGTTTTCAGATACCCAAGAAAGCCATACTTTTATATATAGGCTCTTATCAGGTGAAGCAAATTAAAGAGCTAAACTGGTTTAAAGAGCTAAAACTGGAATTTTTTTCTTTTTTTTGTTTTAGAACAAAATAGAATTGTTACCCGCTATAAAGGAGTTAGCTCAAATGGGTTACAAATTGTATGCATCTATCGGGACCGCAGATTTCTATGAATCGCATAAAGTCGACGTAAGTAAAACACTAATGACAATTTGATGTTTTTTATAAACGAATTATTATTATTCATTTTGAGATTTAAGATTAACTATCGGAAGATTGACTAAATGCCCCTTTGAGTTGAAATGTCTTACGTTTGACCATTTCTCTGATATAGGTTCTCTTTTCTGCAGCTGTCATGTTTTGTAGAAAGTTTCCAGTAGTAGAGGTTAAATTACAAATTAAAGGAGAATTTTCTAATCTCTGAGGTAGTTTTAATTTATCCTTAAGCGAAGAGGATATTAAAATATTTTTGGATGGATGATTGGACGACGAATAATTGGCTGAAACTTCTTCAGATTTCATCGCGATTGTCGGGTTCTCCGTATGATTTTTTTTGGTTAAATCCGATTTTGGACGTAAAATGCTGATCGGTTCGTTAGTGTCAGATTTCAGTGAAAAGTTCGGTATGTCATGCTGATGCACTTCTATAACCATGTCATGAAATTTTATAGATTTGCGATCATCATGAGAATCCTCTAAATATCGTTGCTGAACTCTTGATTTTTGCATCTGATTTGTTGAAATAGCCTGACGATTATGAAAGCTACTGGACATTTTGGGTCCCATTGTTCGTTTTCTAGCTTCCTGAGCAACTTCTCCATTTTCTGACGCATAATCGGCTTTTGTCTCAATTTCATCATAATAATTTGTCGAACTTGTTTTAACAATGCTGTCCTTTGTTGCGCATTGATCGCTATCCGCGGCAGTTTCGATGATATTTTGTCTATTGGGTAATGAGGGTACGGATAATTTTAATTCTTGTCGCAATTGAAATGTTTGAAGATCCTCTTCTAAATTATGTAGGGCATCCAAATATTCTGCTGCTCCTAGATCACAGCCATAATTATGATAAAATTTGCATAGTATTCTGAATAGAGTTAAAAGGCTTCTGATCGGTGAACAATAATTGATCGATTTTTTGGACATTTCCAATAAATGATCCAAAAGAATTTCTAGAATATTTGTTTTTCTTAAATTCTCGAGACCCTGATTTGCTCGACGCACACCTGTGGTGTTTAGGTTTTTGGTAAAAAAGAACTGAAACAATGTATCAATATTATTTATATTATCTGATGCATAACTTTTATATACTTTACCTCCGTATCTATGGATTCTACAGACTTTCGCTTAGCTTCTAGTTCTTGTTTCTTCATTTGTATGTTGTAGCGTAAGATTTGGGTTTTTCTTCTCAATTTTCCTTGGGTCCGTTCACGCCCCTGCTTAAGACCTACCAGGCCTTTAGCTCTTTCATCCATCGTTTTCGGTAGTTCATCATTATCGCTCTGCTGTTTTTTATCTATTTGAATTTCTAGATGCCTTGAATGCCTGGCAAATTTTTGCAATTTAAATATATCATCTTCTATCAGATTGTTATATAATTTCTTAAAATTCAGTTTCGGAAAATAATCTTCAGCAAATTGTAAATTTCTCAATGCTATCATTAAATGCATTAACGGATTGGCTGTGATATCCGCCAATATGGAATATAAAGTTATCAGCGAGTACTCAGGTATACTCTCAAATAGATTGCGATTGCTAACGAAATAATCGCGTAAACATTTCTCTCTTAATCGTTTCATAAACGAGTGAATAAAGCGCAACAGAACTTCTCCCAGAAATTCTTCAGGCCAAGCGTAATAATCTCTTTCGCATTCCCAAAACAGATGCATACGTAAATGATCTAAAGCAAACATCAATGGTTTATTTTTCTCGTAGGGCTCTACAAAACTTTTAAACAACGCTTTAGTTATCATAAAGACTTTAACTTGAGCATTCGTTAAATGCTGTTCCAAATAACGTTCAGCCTTCGGGAAAACTATTCGCCATTCTATGTCCCGGAAGGGATTCCTTTTCTTTTTCGGTGTATAACCGAGAGGTATGACATGAAACCCGAAAGTTTCAATGTGTTTGATCATGGCCCGTGTGGGCCATTGCATTTGTTGACCAGTTTGACGATTAATTGTTATCGGCCGGTCACGCAAACGAAACTCGAAAGCGCATTTCGGCCAGTCTGGGGCATTTTGCGCTACATGAATGGCGGGTATTAATTCATACCGACTGGTATAAATCGAGCATCCCCGGTATGTAGCTGAAAATAATTCTTCCTCGCTAATTTGTAATTGCCTAGATAAGTTTTTACGCAACAATTCATAAAAATAACGCATAAATTCTTTCGAGTTAAGGTAATGTTGCGCTAAAAGTTTCTTACGCCTCTCCAACTCCAGACGATATAGCTTTATGGCCTGTAAAGTATCAAAGTCACGATAACAACATCGATTATCATATTCTTGTTCACTGTCAACAGCTTCTTCATCTTCTGTTTCACTATCTTCCTCGTCCCCGTCCTCATCCGTTAGATCGGCTTCAAAATGTTCTACAAAATTTTGCAATCTCGAGATACACGATTCCGGTAATACCTTGCTATCCAATTGTTGTCGTTCACGTGTATTAGCCATACGCAACTCTCTCAGAGGATGATGTGTATTCAGATGCGTTATATAAGCATAATCGTACTGTTTTTCCGTGTATTTACCATTTATAGCGCCATATAAAGCAGTATTGTTGCTGTAGCCACTGTTCGTGCTATAACCTGAACTACCATCCGTATAGATATCGTCGAGCATATGCTGTAAATTCAGATTTTCACGAAGTCTTAAACGCACATAACCTTTCCATTGAATGTCGTCTAACATTTGCATATAGTCTTCTGTACATGGCGTCGTTTCACGGAAATCACATTCCATATTGACTTTACATAGTGGTGAGATCGAATCGTAATTAGCATCGTTTGGCCGGGCAATGTCAATATTTTCAAATACAACATAAAGTGTCTGTTGTTGTAATACTTGTAAATAATGCTTATCCGGGCCGTGACTGAAGAATTTATATTAAAATTTAATTAATTTCATTGATTAGGCGATTTGAAATCCCCACTTACACCGGTTTATAATTTATCCATTTCGCTACCATTGTGTCAAGCGGATTGACTAACAGAACAGAGTGCTCCAATAAATTTTTATTTAACTCTTTTTCCGTTTCACGCAAATTATCGATTGCCGCTGAATATTCGCTAGAAATAGATTAATGTAAACAAGTAAAAAAATTGTATTCGATCGCGACCGAATCTTTTATACCCATCACTCTTATCCGTAAAAAGCGAAAAGAAGAGGAAGAACAAAATTTTCATGCTCTATAAAATTGAGTGAGTAAAGTTGATTTCTTCTATTTACAAAATAAAAAAATGCTTGTTGTATAGGCATGCGGGCGTAGCAGGCGTGCCCTTTCAAAACTTTAGGTCAATTCTAAATTCTTTTGACAAAGTTTTCAACGATAACGGAAGATTGTTGACCATAAATACTACGAATTTGCGGAAACAGACTGATGGACAGATGGACATGTTTAGGTGTATTTCAAATTTAAAACTGGCCAAGAATTTGTATACTTTATGGGGTTTATGAAGCTGGTTTCTGCGCGTTATAAAGGCATTGAAAAAACAATTAAATAATGATACACTATAATATTGGGTAGGCACGGTCAATTTTTTCCATTCTTATACGCAAATGCTACTGCATCGCCCTTAGAATATGCGTTCAAATTTTTCAGCATTTATCTGCGATAAGTAAAGAGCAAAAAGTTAATTTTTCATTCCCCTTGAAGAACAGAGGTTTTCTCAGTTTACGTGTGGGAGCGTCCTTCAACTGATTTGGCCCATTTCTAACACCAACCTGTGTGCAAGAATTCCCAAGGTTTCTGGCAAATTTGAAATGGATAGTTTCATTTTTGCGGCCAGGAGGATGCTTGTAGCAGATATTACATAGTCGGACAGACAGACAGACAAACAGACATCAAGATTTTATATAATTTGTGGGGTCTCTGATGCTTCCATCTGGGCCTTCACAGACGTTTTGACAAGATGAATATACCCCCCATCCTTCGGTGATGGGTATAAACATAAATAAATAAATAAAAAGTTTAGCATCTACCCATAGCCTACAGATCTTTGATTAAATGATTTTCAGCACTTTTTGCTTACAGTCGATTTATCTTGTTTTTAATTAATCAACTTTTTATATATATATATATATATATATATATATATATATACATATACATTTATCAAGATTTAACTTGTGTATAAGAGTTGAGTGCAAGTGAGATACGCAACTAATTGATTGATAAGTAATTTTGCAGATTTTTTTTCTTTTCTTGTACGAATAGTGTTCATTCAATACCCATAGAGTTGTGTGATTCATATATATATACATACGTATATGGCGATTTTCAACAATATTGTTTACTGGGAAAAGTTTATAACAATAGATCCCGTCAGCGGTAAAAATATTCATTATTCTTAATATCCGTCTTCCGGTTTGATAATTACATGCAATTCAATGGAAACTTTGCAGCATTTTACCTTTCATAATTTTTACAAAATTGCATCGTGTATGCTATTTGGTTTAGGAGGAACGTACATAAATCATCATTTAATTGGTTTTGCAGTTTGATTTCAATTTGACGATTATTGATATCGTGAATATTTCCGTTTTGTTTATTTAAACTTTTGTATGTAGCACTGTTGTCATCGTTGGTATTGGAATTGATTTTTGTTAAATCGTTACACTTTCGTAAGCTATTTCGTTTCTCAGATATAGTCGAACTATATTTGCGTGGCTTTCGTTGTTGTTGATTTCGTTTGCGGCACTTTTTCGCTTGTTTCTTTTGAAGACGAGCAATTTGTGTCTTCTCGTGCTCCTGCTGTAAACGGGTACGTTCTCTACGCATTTCTTGATATTGCAATTCTTGCAAAGGATTACTTGGTTTCTCCGAAAATTTCGAACTAGAACGGCCCATGTTTATGCTTGACGTTCGTTTCCTTTCAAACGTCAACGACTGACTAAAATTGTCTGCTGATTGTTGTATCATTCAGAATATCTTCAGTTAATTATTATTATTATTATTATTATTATTATTTTTTTTTTTTTTTTTTTCTCATTCTTTCTTTTTTCTACGTAAACCTTTCTTCTTTTATCAAACCTATAGTTATCAGACTTTTATCTTTTCTCATAGTTGTCGTGTTACTAAAAGTGTTTTGTTAACATCTTTAATGGTTTATTAAATTCTTGTCTTGTATCGAAATGTTATTATATTCCTATTTACACAAATTATCTTATTTACAAAAAAAAAAAAAAAAAAGTTTTGGCCAAAAAATCAAAATTTTTGATTTTTTTAAGACATTTGTTGTAGGCCCTTTGATCTTGCCGTGGATAATTACTCATTGATGTCTTAAACATAAGAAGCCTCTTTATATTCAACTCATACCTAAGCTAATCTATATATTGTTTCCTTTTATAATACAATATTCCCATAATCTTTATCAATGCTTGCGCTGTTTATATTTACATACTTCTCATGATTCATTGTCTTGAAGAAAAAAGATCTTAATCGCAAATTTTCAAGATTTCTTCTTATCGTTGTCGTTCGACTTTCTTTGATTTCTGCTTTTGCGTTTTTATGCCCTACACCACTTGTGGTATAGGCCAGAAGGTCTTAAGATAGACCCATCTTTTATTATACCGATCCATTCAGAATTATAATCTGAATTGATTTAACCCTGTCTGTCCGTCTGTGCATCTGCGCCCATGTTTTGAGATATATCGATAAAATTTGGTATAATGATATGTTTTGATCCAAGGACGAAAGCTATTGAAAATGGTTTAGGTCGGTCCATTTTTTTCGAAAAGTTGTTGTATGGAAAAAAATTGCAATTTTCAAAATTTTTCAACAAAAGTGGCCGAGTAGTAGCATTTTGGCTTTCTAAATTAGTACGAAAACTTTGGATTGGCTGGGGCAATTTTGGAAGCCCCTCACATAACGGAAACTAATGTTCATAAGACAAAAAGGTAAAATTTTTAATGCTTCATGAAGAAAATTATATAGTAATAGTAATATAATATAAAAAAGTTAACTGCACCAAATTTGTACTATCTCAGCTTAATCTAATAAGAACTTTCACAAAATATGATGCTTTATAGAGCAGGACGGTCCAAGTTTTAATATGTGGCAATGAAAATTGACTCATAATAGTAATCTCATATAAAAATAAGAATTGTTTTAGACAATGTGGTATAGGATATTTAACAATCGGCCTTAGCCGACTATAATGTTCTTACTTGTTTTCTTTAGGTTGAAGCTGTGCAATGGGGTTTTGATAAGAACACTACAGGTGATATAAATGGAGAATTACGACATCTGGCGGAATTTTTGGCTAAAAAAGAATTTGAATTGGTTATTAATATACCCATGCGAAAAGGAGGAGCGAGAAGGTAAGTAGCAACTGCATGAGCGCAAACTACGCAAAACTTTTCATATATCCTTAACTTGGAAAGAATTTTTACTTTATCAGTTATTAAAGTTGGACTGAAAATTTTCGCAACATTTTTTTTTTTTGTAAAATATTTGCGAGCGAGTATTGTTCGGTTGCGAAATTGGTTTTGTAAGCAATGATTTCTATATATAAATGCCTTATGAATTTCTCCATTAGGTTGATACTAATTTTAGCGGGCGCAACGTAGGCCGACTTGAACACAAAAGCAACGAGTCTGAAAACAAATATGAGCAGAGGCATTCCTTTTTTTTTCTGGAAAATTACGCCGCAAGTTTGTCTGCAAAAGCTGCTTTTTTAATATGTTTGCTATACACTTAGCAATGCATTCACAATTTAGCCAATGTTCATAGAATGGTTTGTTAGCCTTGCTTTAGTTTTGTATATGTGTCTAACGTAATGATAAGCAGAGTGTTTAATTACATACCAACTAAAAGTTCCTTAATTTTTTTTTTTTTTTTTTTAAATAAAGTTGTATTGCTAGACGGATTTAGGTACAGCGTTACCCTAGATTGAAACTTGTTCTAAACTTGGGTCATCCACGACAAACGTTTTATATGTTTTTGTATTTTCAAAACAATCGCATTAATGTCTTTTCAAATTGGTCGGCGCAAAACTGCGCTACACTTCTATTATACATCTCGCTTTTTATGACTGTGAGGGCAGTCCTGCCAGGGGCTGGTAATCATTGGCAAGCAAAGATCCGTTTCATTTGACTAACTATATGACCGGCAAAGTAAATGATGGCTGTCTTGCTTTTAACTAATTAACTTCTTTCATATGATCTCATATTGCTACGGCTGTCTGCTTTGTACCGTCCACAATATCAATCATTTGTATAGAAAGTGTGTTATGTTACCTCATTTGTAGTATCGCAATTGGACTCAAATTTAACCCTGATACCTAGCTAAGTCTTTAAAATCAGAGTGTGGCAACTAGCACTGTCTAGTTTGTTTAGAATAGAATGAAGTCATGGTTGCACTGGGTGCTATCTTATGTTGATGAAGCATATATGTATTCGTAATATGGTATAAGATAAATATATCTTGGAGTTACAAAGAAAAGATTAAATTTATTGTGACACACCACCCTTTAGTGGGCGGTATAAACAGGTAATTATATGATTATAAAAAAGCTCTTGTGATGTCCCGAATGGTAAAAATTTTCTATAAAAAATTAAACTCACGAACCAAATTCAAAAACTAAGGAATTTGAAATTTTTTCATCCTCGCCCATTGCTGGCAATTAGCTAAGGTCATATATGAATATTAAATTTGGATTATTACCACATGTACTTAAAATTAATTACGAACTTGCCGCATTGAATGAATGCAAGCGGTTTATTTGTTTTTGATCGGTTTTTTTCTCCCATTTTCGCATTGTAGGGTGTCAACTATAATGACTCGGGGCTATCGTACACGGCGCTTAGCTGTAGATTATTCTATACCATTGATAACAGATGTCAAGTGCACTAAGCTGTTGGTTGAATCTATGAGGCTTACGGGTCGTAGTACACATATGAAAACTCATACAGATTGCATGACTTCAAGGCGTATGGTCACTCTGCCTGGTTTCATTGATGTTCATGTTCATTTGCGCGAACCCGGTGCCACGCATAAGGAAGATTTCGCTAGTGGCACAGCTGCCGCTTTAGCAGGTGGTATAACCATGGTTTGTGCGATGCCCAATACTGATCCCTCGATAGTGGATTGTGCCAGTTTTACATTATTTCAACAGTTGGCCAAAGCTGGAGCCCGTTGTGATTACGCTTTGTATGTGGGAGCAAATGATACAAATTGGCAGCATATCCATGAATTGGCCCCTCAAGCAGCTGGCCTCAAGATGTATTTAAATGATACATTCAGCACATTGAAAATGACAGATATGACCGTTTGGGAAAAACACATGCAAAATTGGCCTAAACGAGCCCCGATAGTTTGCCATGCGGAACGTCAAACCATGGCTGCTGTAATACTGGTTGCACAATTAATGGATCGTCCTCTCCACATATGTCATCTGGCGCGTAAGGAGGAAATACTATTGGTAAAAGCTGCGAAGGAGAAGGGTATACGCGTAACGTGCGAAGTGTGTCCCCATCATTTGTTTTTGTGCGACAAAGATATACCTACTATTGGGGAAGGTAGATCTGAGGTACGGCCTGTGCTATGTACTCAAGAAGATCAGAAAGCTTTATGGGATAACTTGGAGCACATCGATGTATTTGCAACCGATCATGCTCCGCACACAAATGAGGAAAAACAGGCGGGAAACCCTCCACCTGGTTTTCCGGGACTAGAAACAATACTACCATTATTGTTGAAGGCCGTCGATGAGGGACGCTTGACTTTTGAGGATATTAAAAATAAATTTTATCGTAATCCGAAAAGAATTTTCGGTCTTCCCGAACAGCAAAATACTTACGTAGAAATTGACCTGGATGAAGAGTGGATAATAACGAAGGAATGTATGCATTCTAAGGCCAAGTGGACACCGTTTGAAGGCACAAAGGTGAAAGGTAAGGTGCATCGCGTTGTTTTACGAGGTGAAGTTGCTTTCGTGGATGGCGAAGTGTTGGTAAAGCCGGGCTTTGGACAAAATGTACGCAGCCATTACAATCTTAAATCGTTAAAGCCGCAATCACTGGAATCTTTAGAAATCAAAACGTCACTTGACAACTGGGATAACATGAAATTGTTAGATCGCGACAATGAATTCGTTAGTGATTCACAAGCCAATGAAGCGTTTTCGAAATTATTGGCTGAAGTTCCTTCGAAAGTCAGTGTACACTTTTCCGGTGATGCTAGCATATTGCGTCCTGTATCGCCTTTGCCACGCATTCGTTGCGATTCGGCTAGCAATGCCACCTTCAGGGAACTTGTGCAGAAAACTGCCTTTGCCAACGCTCCCATATCGCCGGTGGCCAACAGTCTGCTAGGGCGTCATATTCTAAGTGTCGACATGTTCAATAAAGAGCAATTAAATGATATTTTCAATTTAGCACAATTGCTAAAGAGTCGTGTGGTTAAAGATCGCCCCGTCGACGATTTATTGAAAGGTAAAGTTATGGCTTCCGTATTTTATGAAGTCAGTACTCGAACATCGTCCAGTTTTGCTGCGGCGATGCAGAGATTGGGTGGACATGTTATCGCAATAGACAATACAAGTTCGTCTGTGAAGAAAGGTGAAACTCTAGAAGATAGTATTTCAGTAATGGGTGGTTATTCGGATGTTCTGGTATTGAGGCATCCAGAACCAGGAGCAGTCAGAGTAAGCATCGATAATTGCTACCAACAATTTCACTAAACATTTAATAATAATATCATAAAAATATTTAATTGTTATGCAAATAGCGTGCCGCCCAACATTCCCGTAAACCTGTAATAAACGCGGGTGATGGTGTGGGTGAACATCCCACGCAGGCTCTGCTAGACGTATTTACTATAAGAGAGGAATTCGGCACCGTAAACGGTCGCACGATAACTATGGTCGGGGATTTGAAACATGGACGTACTGTACACTCGCTGGCACGGCTTTTAACTCTATACAATGTACAAATACAATACGTAAGCCCTGAAAATCTGGGTATGCCTGAGCACATAATCAGGCATTTGAATGAAAAAGGCATTAGTCAAAAGGTTTTAGGCACATTGGAGGAGGCTTTGCCTACTACCGATGTACTGTACATGACAAGAATACAAAAGGAACGCTTTGCCAGTGAGGAGGAATACGAAAACGTGAGCTCTAAACAAATATTTATCAAGAATTTTTCCCACATTTTTGTTATATGTATTTTTTTCGTTTTTATTCTTTTCCTACAGTGTTGTGGCAAATTTATAGTGACACCAAAATTAATGACTAAAGCGCGACGTAGCACAATTGTTATGCATCCTTTGCCGCGTACATTCGAAATCAGTAAAGATTTTGATACAGATCCTAGGGCAGTTTATTTCCGTCAAGCTGAATATGGCATGTACATACGTATGGCTCTCTTGGCCATGGTAGTGGGTTGTCGCAATTAATATTCCATTCAAGTAAACTGTTTTGCTGGTTAATACATTCGTTAGATTTTATTACTTTAATATGTTTTGCATATGTTCATGTCAACTATTAACAAAAACACAAAATACACACAAAAGTGCATATTTTCTTAAAAAAAAAAAAACAAAAAAAACAAAAAAAACGAAAACAAAAACAAAATAAAACAAAAAATGATTACATTTCTTTTATGAATTAATAATAAATTGTCATAATTTACATATTCAGTCTTTTCAATTTCATACATTTTACTACACTCTATAGGTTAAAATAAATAATTGCCACTCTTAACTTCAATAACGTTCTATTTGTATGGCGGTCTCCGCTTGACGCTTCTCAACTTCATCTTGCCAATGCGTTCTTTTGTGTTTCTTCTCTTTAATGCCTTTTGTTAGGCAGCTTTGTAAATTTAATTCACTACTTTCGAATGCTTTATTTAAATTGCGTTGAAGGTTACCCGTATAAATTATAGCTACCGAAGCTGAACGTGGTACTGGGGCGTCTCCAATTTCCTCATAAATCGTTTCAATGGATGTGCGTTTGCTTTGTACATCTGTGTCAACGCTATCGCTGGCCGAAGGTCTTTTGCTAATCACCGAACTTGATACCGAGCAACGATGGCATTCATGGAGGCTGTGAAAGAGAACAAAACGCTTTAAATACTTTATTTCCCTTGACTCGAAAGTAATGAATTCGCTAATTTGATCATGATTTGATATGATGCCCGTAAATGCACATTAAATATATATGTACTCGGTCAATATGATATTCTAAGTAAGATTAACAATGTTCATCAATCGGCTCCTACTCTGCTCGGATGTTAAATATTCATTACACTTTCGTTTAGTGTAGGGAAAACAAGCAAGGAAAGCTCTCTCCTTATACATATATCATCTATAGTGCACGACTTTTTTAAAAAGGTGGCACTTTTTCCTATCTATCTTTTGTGAAATTATGTCACAGTTTCTTTCGGGATACTAACTTGTTAAATTTTATCATTTTATATTTATTGGAACAGTATAATTCAGGGGTGAATACATGCTATACTTGCTTTACGTTTACATATGACTCCGAATGATTATAATGACGAGCAATTAAAAACTCGAGTTCCATGCTTCCATAATAATATGGAAACTGCCTATGGCTCGGCCTACGTGTGGTGTATGCTTCAATAATGCTGGCAAATTGGGCAGCTCTCGCATAAGAATGCTTTTTATAGACATTAAAGGTGTCTTACGATCATCATAAGCTTCTTTACACTGATGAATAAAGAGAAAATATCGATTCTTTATGATGTTGCACTGTTAACGAGACATAAGAATGGAACGAATATATGCAAGACATTGTCTTTATTGTGATTTGAATTTATTTATCGCAGACTATACTGAGGAAGTAGAGATGAATTAGCAAATATTCAACATATTCGGTAGGTTGTATATCACAAAACGATAGCGCAATAATCGAGAATCGTTTTAAAGCTGAAGCTCACTAAGCAACAGTGGTACAAGTGGTGCCGGGTCGTATGTAATACGCAGAAGGGCTTAAGATAGACCCACCTTTTATTATACCGATCAATTCAGAAACATAATCTGAATTTATGTAAGTTTGTCTGTCCGTCTGATGTCTGCCGATTTAAATTTGTTCTCAGGTCGCAATTTTTGAGATATTTCAATAAAATTTAGTAGCTATTGAAATTAGTTCGGATCGGTCCACTTTTTTGAAAAGTCGTTATATGGAAAAAAAAATGCAATTTTCAAAATTTTTCGGTAAAAGTGGCTAAGTAGTTGGATTTTCACATTCTGCTGGGCAACTTTTGAACTCCTTCTCCCGCCTCTCGTATAACGAAAACTGAAGTTTTTACGACAAAAAAGGTATAATTTTCAGTGCTTCACGATAAAAATTATATCATAATAATAACTTATCATAAAAAAACGGACTGTACCAAATTTAGACCATCTCGCCATATTTTTTGAATCCTATCTTAATAAGAATTTTCACGAAAATTGATCCCTTGTCGAGCAGAAAAGTTTAAGTTTTAAGTTAAGTTTTAAGTTAGACAGTGTGGTGGAGGGCATTTAATTGTCGGCCTTGCCCGACTATAATGTTCGTACTTGTCTATAAATGTAGTTTCGCTTAACAAGACTATCTAGGATAGTTTTAAGATTATATAGGGTGCGTCAAAATCTTCTAAAATTCTGCGTTACACGAGACCGCAATGCACTTTCATTATTGAACAATATTTCAAAGCTAATGAAAGTTTGGTCGTATTTCTTCGAAAATGAGGCTGATCAAGCAAATACGATTTCTGGTGCTCGATATCGTACTATGATAATCCAGTTCTTTCTGCCTAAAGTGCATGATGATATTGTTTCGAATGACGTGTGGTTTCAACAAGACAATACCAAATATGCCAAATATACCGCGAAACAATTCAATTACTGCATGAGACATTCCCTGCTCGTGTACACGCACGTTGCGATGATGATCAGAATTTCGATAAAAGAGCCAGCAAAGGCGTGTAGGGCCTAATGTCTGTCTATACTACGCACATTATGATTCAATAGAGATAGTACAATTAAAAAAAAGCTCGCTCTCTCTTTCTATTAAATTCAAATTTTGCATAAGTTTTGGGACACCATACATAATGGCATACCCTTGTTGAATAACTGTTCTTTTCGTTTCTTGCTTTTGCATTAAAAAGCTATTCCGAAAATGTTTTTATAATTGCTTTCTTCACTTTTTCTTGTTTTATTTGCTTTTTATTAAATTTACCTATGTGATCGTTTGGATATTACGAAGAATAGTAAGATTGCTAAAATGATTAACGCAACAATAAATCCAGATAGTCCAGCAATCATTGTCATCATTTCGTGTGGTTCGCCATCTGATGTTACTTTAGTTACTAAAAAAATTCAAGAAAAAAAAAAAAAATTAAAACAAATTATTTAAAAAAATAAATAAATAAAATTGTACAAATTTTTAATAAAAAAGTTCTACGAGAAATAAATTATGAGATTTGAATATGAATGCAAGCCGTGAAGAAGAAACTCTAAAACTTAAGCATTTTATGACTAAAACTTAACCTATACAACAAAACAAATTGCATAAGATACTCGAAGTAGTTGAAGGAAAATGCGAAATTTTTTTAAACTCTTACGAGTTATTATGTCTTTGAAAGTAAATCAACTTTAGATTATTCGAAAACAAATCAAATAATTTTCGAATATCGCTATGAGAATTCAATTTGTAATATATTTTCAATTATTTTCTTGTTTCACTTAGTTTAAATATCAGTTGAATGCATAAAATTTAATTAAATATATTTATAGATAGATATCTTATAAAGTATTGCGCCTAGATAAGAGAGTTGACCTTTGCAATAAGCGAATATCAGTGAATGTGAATGAATGCGAATTGCTTCAATTGATCAATGAAGTAAGCAAAGAGATTTTAATATTTTATGAGCTTAATATTTTTTAGACTAACCACTACATATATTTATTTATGCACATGATATATAGTTTATTAAATAGTCAATTAAACAAAACAATTCAAAAACGTGCTAAACGTTTTCAAAATAAATCAACGTTAAGTTATATGTATTTGTCAGCTTAAAGCAACGCACAGCACTTGCACGCATTGTAAAAATGCTTTGTAAAGACGGCAACGAGAAAAATCTAATGTTTTTATGTTTATTAAATTTATTTCAAGTGCTCGTTCTTTAAACATTAATTAGATACATGCATATAAAGATGTTTAAATGACTTGCACTTGCGTTCATTGAACAACAAAACAAGTTCGTTCGGCCAAAGCGTGCATATTAGATTTGTGAAAACTTTGTAACTAGCAAAGAAGCAAAGAAGTTTGAAGACCTTGCGCTTGAATAACTGAATTGAATCATAACAAACGAATCAATTTCTTTTCAAATATATCTTCTTGACTCCAGAGGTTTCAGTTTAAATTTAAAAATATTTAGCTAACATTAGCGAGAGAGTTAGAGCATAATTTTTCCTTTTCCTTAAAGGATTGATTGACTAAATTTGATTTAATTACAGTGCGAAGATCGATTCGCTCAACAAAAAAAAAAAAAAAGTTTATTAGTGATTCTTATTAAATGTAACGGAACATTTATACACGATTTTTACATTCTGTTATCATCCTCAAGGGGCTGGAATTTCGGTGCGTAAACTGATCACATATTACTTTCATTAGATTTCCTCGTTTCGTGATGCAATACTCATATGTATATATATTATTATATATATATATTATATATCTATAAAGATGAGGAATGTATTATTTATTCAATTCAAATTATTATGAAAAAAATATGCATAAGAGATTAGCAAAGATTCAACTTGTTTATCATTCCGAATTTGCGAAAGGTACTCGAAATATTCGATTTGTGATCACGTGCCGTTTAAAGTCGATTAATCGATGATACTGAAACGGATCAGATAAGCATTTTCGTTTATTCTTTCCGTTAACAAGATAAATTGCCTCACAAATTTTACATAAGTGATGAGAATCGTTGAATACCATAGATCGGTAAGAATTTCAATTTTCAATTCACTTATGATAATTCATACATTTGAAGGTATTTCACGCATTTGCGATTCGATAAACAAATGCTTATTCCAAGGTTTAGATGTGACATTTTTCGATTATAATTGTGGCTGAAATCAAATGTAGAGGAAATCTTCAAATCTTCCAATTGTCCAGTATTTTTATTTAAGAAATTCAATGATACCTTATGGAAAGAATAACAACGTTGACCGAAAGCGAATTTATATACTTTGCATATGTTGTAGAGAATGTGTAGTTTTTCCTTACGAACCGATGTAGACATTAACAAATTGATCAAATGATCAAAGAAGTCACGATATTAGCTCGAAAAAAGAAATGAAAGAAACACGATTTTACTGAAAGGTTAGATATATTCAAATATCTTCTATAGCTTATTGCATTCTTCAGGTTTGCTTTGTTAAATAGATTCTAATGCTTTGAATGCGTTTTTATGCTCAAGGAATGTCGCCATCAATTTTGTATTACGATGCTTAAGCTCTTAAGCTCTAAAGTGTTTTGCATATACAATAAGGTTTTATTTTTTAAAAGATCTAAAGCAAAGAAATGGTGGGTATCAAAGAGTTCGGTTTAAGCTGAATAAATTTATTAACATATACGCGATCGCTTTGCATTGAACTTCAACTTGACACTTGGATTTATGTATAAGTGCGTGATAAAATGTTCACACAATTCACTTACTATATATATCTATATATATCTATATATATATATATATGTCTATATATATATGTATATTTGCAATATGACATTCTATACTAACTATTCTAGATCTACTACATACACTGCAAACCGAGAGCATATAACAAAACTTTCTAGAATTTTAAAACTTATATATATTTTGTTTTTCATGTGTTAATAATTAATAGAATTTATTATTAATTTGTTATTGTTCATAAGTAATTTCCGTTGTACGCAACAAAACTATAGAAAGCTTATCAAATATAAGGAAGGATGGATGTTTAATCCACAAAACAAAAAAATAAAATACTTAAATAAAAAAAAAAAAATATTAATTAACGGTTGAGATTCTCCTCAATGACAGTAAATTCTATAAAAATTCTTAGATTGTCGAAAAAGTGATGACACTTTTTTTTTTATGTGTTTAATTATTGTAAAGACCTATGTATTGATTAATGTGATTCGATATTTTCCTTTGCTTTTACTTTTTACTTTCTTTGTTCTTCATGGTCACGATATCCGAGTTCATGGATCATGGATGTTCAGGACAAGACTTGATGCGAGAAAATCACTTTTAGCACACAACATCACTTTCGTAGCCTCTCGATACCTGCCGAGAGTTTACGGCAATTTATTTGGAAAAATTAGAGAAATCATTTATCTTGAAAGCGCAAAGATGTCTTACAGTTTGTGAAGATAGCAAGTTCTTGAAAAGAAAATTGCATAAGGATCGGTCATAATGAAAAGCATTCTATATTACGGGCAGCGAGATCTAGCAGCCGTAAAAAGCTGAACAAGGTTTAGTGGTCAGGACAATGCCGATCATTACAAAAATTGAAGTCACTCGCTACCATACTCGAATCGATAAAGAGTATGATAAACGATCTCTCCCTTCTTCCGGACCACGGAGTCTTTTTCCTCTATTTAGCACTTTAATGTATTCTATGTCGTTTGATTGCTTTGACCCAGAAAATCCAAATACGTATATCATTGCAAAAATATATTTAAGGATTTAAAGATCGCATTGCGCCTTATGCGATAGGCTTCTTTTCTAAGGTCTCTTTTTGACCCTTTCAATAATGGTTGCTTAACATTTCAATTACCGGTTGCGATTATGGTATCGGATTTAGCTATGATATGCTTATTGCTATTCTAATATTATGATTGTCAGTTTATTGAGATTTTTCCGACCATCCAAACATTGATTTCTATTAAAACTTAATAATAATAAAAAAAAAAAAAGCATTAAATGTCACATGTAACAATTTTATTTGATTGTACTCTTTTTGTTAATTTTTTTCATGCAATACTTTAGACAATTTATATAAATCGTGATTTTCCTGTATTTTGTAACTCTCGTGTAATAGTATTGTAGCAAATTGTTAGAAAATCCCATTCAAAGAGGTGTGTCATCATTGTCATAATGATAAGTATACTAATAGTGGATATTCCAAAATTATGTTCACATGTATATGTGCAATTAATCTAACATGCAACATTAATCAATTACGTAGATTACGTAGACAAACGTAGGTAGAATATTTTAAATACATTATCCAACTCTGATTGTTTAATATTGTCTGGCGGCATTAATTTTATTTTTATAATTGAGTATCTTGACAAATACTCGATGTCTGCTGCTTTAGTTAAATATATGCAATTATTCGGAAAATGTTTCCTTAAATTATGAACATGCTAGTAGCTCTTGTGGAATTATTTTTTATCTAGAACCTTTTCTGGCTCACAACACCAATAGATTTCTAAGAAAGAAAGAAAGAAAAAACAAAAACAAAAAACATTGACAAGGAAATCGTACCTTTTTTATATATATAGCCATCACCGACCGATGACGATGATATTATTTTTGTCAAAACGTGTGTACTCGGCCCGGAAGGAAATTTCAGATCTCCCACAAAGTACATATATATTCTTGATCTGAATGAAATTCTGAATCGATTTAAGCATGTCCGCCTGTCCATCTGCATAATGCCTCTGCTAAACATTCTCTCTTCTCAAGCTATCGACTTCAAGTTTGGCAAAAACATTAGATGTTCTTGCACGCAGGTTGATATTGATAATGGACCAAAACCATCGAAGGTATCGGTATCAGTGTTTTTTTTTGTATTATTTGTTGTTGTATGAAAAATTGGTTTTTCGCTTATTACTCGTAAACTATAGCATGCAAATGTATATGGTATAGCATCAATACAAATATGGAAAAAATTGACCACGCCTATTCAATATTATGCTTATACAAATCAACTTTATAGCGCTCAGACTTCAAAAGCTCCATAAAGTATATGAAACATTGTCTAGCTTAAAATTTGGAACGCACCTAAGCGTGTGTATCTGCCCAGCTAAGCAGCATCTGTGGCAAATTTTCTCCCGCTCGCAAAAATGAAGACCATGCCTACAAATTTGCAAACGAAAGTGAGAATGACCGAAACTTCTCAAAGGACACACTTATGCTTGTCACTCATACAGTGCAACACACACGCCATATAAATTTCTGGTTTTATTCGGAAAATAGAAAAAATCCGCCACGCCCATTTTATATTATGAATTATGAAAATTTCGATCTTTTCTCTTTTTCTAGTCTTTCCTAGGACAACCGCGATGGGTATAAAAGATTCGATCACTATCTAATTGTCGGAAAAAACAGCATAAGTCAAAATATGACATCACTTGCTTAACTTCGTTATAGATTTGAATGCGTAAGGACTTGAGATAGGCGTACATTTTATTATACCAAATGATTCGAAGTCATAGACCGTCTGTCGGTCTGTCCGGCTTTTTTCTTATAAGCCACAATTTTTGAGAAATTTTGGTACATATTGAAAATGGTTCGGATCGAAACACTTTTCCGACCAGTTCTCATATAACGAATTATTTTGTTAAGTCCTTATACGTTTAAGTGTAGAGTGGTGTGATCGCATTTTGCATGCCTTTCAAAAAAATTTGTAACTTCATTATTATTATTTTTGTTATGACTGTACCCACAACCGAACGATAGGGTATATTCCTTTTCGCCAAATGATTGCAAAATCCAGAAGGAAGCTTCAGAGACCCTATAAACTATATGTTTTCTTGATCAGTATGAAATTCGGAATCGATTTCAAATATGCCTGTCTTGCCGTTTGATCGCCTACGCATGTGCGTTTGTCTGTTCGTCTGTCTGTCCGTTTTACTGTTCTTATAATCGCTGGAATAAACATTTTCATCTGGAAGTAAAGATGAAAATCTCATCTTCAGATTTGGCAAACATTTTTACAACTTCTTGAACACGCCCAAAGTGCAATATAAAGTGAGAATCTGGTCTATTTTCAAAAGCTGGCAATATCGTGTTTCTTGCTAATTTCGAAAGACATTTTCTAGATGATCTTATACCGCCTGCATTCACTTAATGTTATGGAGTATGGAAAATAAATTATTTTAGTGCATAACAGATAGGGTCTATCTATGTTACATGTTTTTGTTGTTCATTATTTATAATTTAAATATTTTGAAAACTTATTCGAATCCTTCAGCACATAGAGAATTTTTAAATAATATATAAAACAAAATAAATATATATATTTATTTACAATAAAAAGAAACAAAACAATCAATAAAATAAATAAATAAATGTTTTGCTTAAATAAATATGCTTTTGTTAGATATTTGTAATCAGTTTAATTGAATTTTGAAAGTTGTTTAATTACAAATTCTATGCATTTTAGCTTGAACAACATTTACCTATGATTTCATGGTCATTAACGCACTTCCGTTGGTGAAAGGTATTCGTTATTGTTTTTTTTTTTTTTTTTTTCATTCCCTCACCACATACTGAGTAGGGTATATTAACTTTAATGCGAAAATAATAATTGGTTGTACATATGTATGTATTTCTATATATAAGGAATAATATCGCACCTTCATTATATTCTCGAAACATATACAAATAAGTTGCACGCAATGCTGACTTAAATTGATCTTAAAATTTTGCAAATTTATTTGCTTAACTGTTAAGATTTGAGTTATAACTCAAATTTAATGAAAAACGATATTGAAATTAATTTATGCATAAGCATGTGATTTTTGACGCAGCAAAGCATTTCGCCAGCTTGTGAAAGCGATTTTGTATGTCCGCCTCTAAATGAAATGGCCACCAATTCAATAAATATGTATGTCTCTGACAAAATTCCCAAATTTTTTTTTTTTTTCCTTTCGTAATGCCCAGAAATTTCATAAATGATGACATTCTGCTTCAGCTGAGAGAGATTCTGGCCTTAAGCTAAGGAATGTATTTATTTGTTTATTGTCAATATGTTTTGCAAATAAATCTGCAAGCTATGGATTTAAAGGCTGCCCGATAGCTTAGATCATGTGCTCTCGCCAGTAATGAAAACTCTACTGCACTTGAGCTTTACATCAATCCGCGGCAATCGAGTTTGTTAGACGCGATCCTTTGCCTGGTCGGCTACTCATAGAGCAATAAGGAATATATATTTAAAGTTGATTATCAATTTTTTGGTGCATTAACCGAGACTTTGGACTTATTAAACCAATATGTTCATATGTATGAAAGCCGCTGAGAAGAAAACTTTAGAGGTAAGGATAGGAATAATGAAAGCACTTTTATGTTTCTGCGCTTGTCTTATAAACAACCCCCTTCAACCCCGCCCCCTAATCAGATTACCACGATTATAGTTGATTAGTTTCCTTCTTTAGGTTCACTGTAGGTCGATTCGCTTCTGGATATGCTTGGGAATTCGCCATTGACTTATTGTGCTTAGTAAAGCAGTGTAAAGGGAATGCATTAATGAACTGAATGTTAGGAAAATTTAATATGCAATCGTTCCTAGGGTTTGAGTGAAGAAAAGAAAACAATTTATGATAAATGAATAAATTTGTTTTTTTATTCTATGCTTGTAAGCGGTTCTTTAAAACCCGGATGCATATACATCATGAAAGCAAATAATAACGACAGCAGCTTTGTTTCTTACTTACTTTCCATGATAAATGAAAACCATTTACTAATGCTGGTAATGAATCTTAATTTTACTTATTAAGAAATTACAAAATTTTAATTATTGTTGATTTTGTTAGCGCGCACAACACATCGTAACATCATCACTTAATTACTTAAACAATGGAATTATTTAATACATTAAACTATTATTCAATATTAACATTAAATAATTTACACGTTATAAAATAACATAACTAAACCAAGCAAGAAAATTATAATCCCCTTGAAACGAATCTCTGATACCCATCACTTTAAGCGATAAAGGTAAAAAGCGAAAAGAAAAAAACATTAAAGCGAAGGCAAAAAGGAAGATTACGTAGGTAGGTAGGTAGGTAGGTAGCTAGGTAATCGTAATGTATTACATTAAAATGTCCATTTGTCTGTCATTCCTTCCTACACTTCATAGCCTGATCGTGCTCCTAGCAAGGGATGCAAGCGAGTCTTTATCGAATTTCAATTTCAATAGTTCACTTCTTTCTTTAAGCTTTCTTCGGTTTCTCACGCTTCTCGCCCTTTTCGCCGCTTTCAAATCGATTGCAATTGCGCACATTTTGTGAATATAATTGCATCGTACACAAGCTTGCGGTTTACTAGTTTAATCAAATGCGGTAATTTTACTTATTCATAATAGTATTTAACTGCAAATGTTTGAGATTTATAAAAAGGCGATAAACGTCGGCATTCTTCACGATATTCACATGTTTAAAGAATATTTTAAAGAATATTTAATTTATGTCGCATTCTTAACTCAACCACTCATCTTGTACGCATCATTATATTAAATAGGAATTCACGCAGTGCTATTACGTCCTGCATCAAAATTATGTGCCCTTAAATTATTCTGACAAAATCATTTCTAATAATTCTTCGAAAATTTGCTGGATATAAGCCTAAGTGGCCTAAGTGGCAAAATGCAAAATTGTTCAAATGTTTAGAAGGACGGACGATTAATAAGTTCGGTTTTTCCCTTCTCCGCGTTACATATCTCCTTGCGTTTCTACTCTCTTATTAGTAATAAAGTAAGGAGGCGTATATATCGACTGTTAAGTTATGAGGACGAAGGGAATATCAACGTATTTTGACGATTTGTGTGGAGAAGGACGGACGATTAATAAATATGGATTTTTCCATATTCCGCGTTACAAAACTCCTGGCGTTTTTAATTCTTATTAGTAACAAAGTAAGGAGGCGAATACATTGCTTGTTAAGTTATGAGGACAACGCATTTTGACGATTTATATGAGAAATTTTACTATGAGATATTACAATGAGAATTGTGAAAACATTTAGGAAAGAAAATCGCTTTAAATAATCTCACGGCGTTGGTAAATGATTATGAAAAACGAGAACTCATCATTTCATATATATTATGTGATAGTGTTATACGGGTATTGCGATTATTTCCGAATTTGATCTACAGAATCAATCTGCAGAAACTATATCTATTTTCATTTTTACGTATTTAAGAGTACTACGAGCGATAGGGATCGCCCCAACTTTCCGTCGTCAGCCGTCAGCTTTAAATATATTTACTATTATTATAGCAAATTAGAATAAGTTTGAAACAGTTTAATCTTACAAGCGAAACGACGAAATTGATATAACAGAAATTGAAAAAAAAAAAATATGAAGAAAATTAAAATTTTATAACTAAATTATTAAATATTAAATAATTTTGTTTATTTTTTGCTTTTACATAAAATTTACGACAATTAACAAACGAAAGTATTATGCACATGAAAAGATTATAAGTAGTACTTAATACGAGTTAACACATTTTTATATAATACTTTTCGCCTGCAATTAATATCTTATTAAAATGAAATGACTTATTTAAGTTATATGAAGACCAGACGAACATATTGTACTGTTTTTGTTAGTATTATTGTAATTTTCTCATGGAAATTGTGTTGTATTATGAAATAAAAACCTGCTCTAATTGTGTATTAATTGAATGAATCTATAAGAGGAAGCATTATTTGAAAAAAAAAAAGGAAAATTTTTAAAAAAAAAATTCTACTTACTTGAATCTTCAATAACGTAACGTATCGGTGTTTTAACGTATGATGAATCCATTTTTTTTTTTTTTTTTTTTTTCTTTCTTATCTTGATCTTCTTGTGTGCTTTATGCAATAAATATTCTACTTCCTCTGTCTGGCTGTACAACAATACTGGTGCGTATTTTTATTTCTATAAAATAAAGAATCATTATTAATAATAATTATTTGATGAATTTTATAAAAATGCAATACATCAGAAAACCAGATATTATTTATGTTTTTTTTTTTTATATCAATATTGATTTAATTAATTAATTGATTATAATTTATGTATTAAAATGAGCTCGTTTAGATTGATTAAACGCCAAGCCCACTGTTATTGTTTTTTTCTTTTTTATTCTCATCACTATATCCATAACTATATCGAAGGATGAGTGTAAGTTAATTTTGCTGTCAAAACATTATTGATGGTCTGGAAAATGCAAATATTCTATTCCAGCATAAGTTGCATAATCGGTCCGTCTGTCCGTTGTTATGTTATTGGCATTTCAAAAGTTGCCAAAAAGTGTTGTCTACAGGGACCATTCGAAAATGGAAATAATTCACGCCAAAAGTAAAAAAAAAGAAGCGAAACAATCTTCACAAACGATTAGTGTCCACAATGTGAAGGCTTTCAATAGTAATAATAATAACAATTATCTGAATGAGTAGGGCAATAGGTAAGAATCGAG